TACGAGCTCTGTCTTTTCACTGGAAGCTACCTACAGGAATGGGCATTACCATTTACTGAGCATTTTCTCTATGTCGGATCTTACACGCACTTCTTCCTGTGTGATGGCCAGCTTAATCCCTGCGGCCGCTAACGTCATGCTCAGTGAACAGTTTCGACTTGTGCAAGGAATGTGATCTCTGCCTGCCATTTGCTGCTTCCTCTGCTGTTGCCAGGGGTTAAAGTAACTAGCTGAGCCCCTGGTGAGGAGCTGGGCGTGAGAAACTACCCTGCACCTTGCTGGGAGCTGTTCTGACTGTGGGGAGAGCTGGCTTGCCTGGCTCTCTGCCGTAGCTGTTGAGTTTATAACTTACCTGGAACTGGGTACTATTAGTTTTGGCTTAAAGAAAGCTGGAGGGCTAAATAGATCATGTTGGCTTAGTATTGGTTTTCGAGTGCCGCAAGGACATGACCATACAATGACTTGTCAGGTCCTAACTTATTTTAGAATTGACTGCAACTCATCAAGGACAAATCCTAAAGCTGTTCTATAGGAATTTTCCATGAAGTAATTAAATCTGTGAGCATGATTTTAATCAGCTGTTGGGTTCTCTGGGTGAGAGCCTGCCTTTAGTTGGTGTTAACCTTTGCTGGGATTTTGACACCTTTTTTTTTTTTTCTTTGCACCAACAGAAATGTTATCTTTCAGTTCCCATTTCTGCAGGAACCGTAGGAAGTAATCTTACACTTAAGACACCTTGAACAAGTTCCTAAAAAGACTATTCAAAATCACTTCTCAATACACTAGGGTCTTCCAAAAGTTCATGGAAAAACAACTTTGCCTGGATTTCAAAAGTTATTGACACCAAAATATGCTTTTAAAATACCCCTTTGCCAGGAACTTTTTGCGGTCGCATCATGTAGAACAATGAAGAGCCTGTTTTCATTAACTTGCACCTGGCTCCAAGCAGTTTGAAGTGAAAGTTAAAGTGACTTCAGAGCTCATGGCGTGTTCCAAGATGTGATCAAATGACTTGATGTCAAACATTCTGCCAGAGGATGGCTTGAATACAACCAACTAAGGATGTCTTAAGTTTATCTTGTGAGTTTGGAACAAGAAAACAGGCAGTGCTACATTGGTCAAGACCTGAGCATAGCCATAAAGGTTTTATGGTTTGCTTTTCTTAACGTGAGTCATAAAGCTGGCTCGGAAGGCAGATTCCGAAAGGCAAATGCTTAGTGCTTTGGTTATATTAAAACAAACATTCAGCCTTCTGAGGAGAGGCTTCGGTAGAAGGAAGCTCATCTGAAATTATACATTATAGTACACTGGGGTAGAATTAATCTTCCTAATTTAGGAACATCTTCCTTGTTGAAAAAGACAGCTTAACACAGCTTTTGATAGTGTTTTTTCAAATGTTGCATTGGCTTAATGACTTTGCAAATTAAAGAATGAGTCATTTCCTAGAAACTTAGCACAGGAGCTTAATAAAGAAGGCACTTGGAAGCCTGTATTAGTGAAATCACTTTTTTCTTGGGTAGCATTTCTTAAAAATATTCATTTGCTCATTTGAAAGACAGAGTGACAGACAAGCACACACACATACATGCTGTGGCCTTTGCGGAGCAGGAGAGAGAGAGGCAGGTTATCCATCTACTGTTCCATTCCCCGGTTGGTTGCAACATCAGGAGCTGGGCCAGGCTGAAGCCAGAAGCAGGAAGCTCTGTCCAGGTCTCCCAGATGATGACTGGAGCCCTAAGCACTTGAGCCCTCTTTGCCTGCCTCCCACATTGCATTCACAGAGCTACTTGAGAAGCATATTAGCTGGCACTCCAATGTGAGATGCAGGTGTAAGAAGTGGCTAAGGTCCTCCCCTTGCATGTGCCTGGATCCCATATCAACATCAGTTCTAATCCAAGAGGCTCCACTTCTCATCCAGCCCCCTGCTTGTGGCCTGGGAAAGCAGTCGAGGACAGTCCAAAGCCTTGGGACCCTGCCCCCGCGTAGGAGACCTGGATGTGGCCTCTGGCCTCTGGCTCCTGACTTCAGATCAGCTCAGCATTGGCCGTTGTGGCCATTTGGGGAGTGAATCATTGGACGGAAGATCTTCCTCTGTCTCCCCTCCTCTTTGTGTATCTGCCTTTCCAATAAAAATAAATAAATCTTAAAAAAAAAAAAAGTGGCAGAGCTACTGAGCCACAGGGCATACCATATTCTCTGTTTAAATTGCTTGCTTTTGAGACATAGCTGTGCTACATAAAATAATCAAATTATCTTGCAAACCTATAGTTTTTAAAATGTGTATCATGCTTTTGGATCAGTTTCTAGAAGCAAAAGGAATTGTTTAAAAAATCGGTAATTCATTGTTTAAATCAGTACTTAAATATTGAGAAATACTAAGGGGAAAGCAAAGCTTTCTGTTCCCAGTATGTCGTGCAAACTAACTAAATGGCAAGCAAGGGCTGGCTGCCTGAAGAACAGTTTGTGACGATCAGGTTTTCAGGAATAATGCAAAAGTTGCTCCTGAGAGATGTGCACAGCCTTGGTCCAAACACAAGCTTGTGTTACTGTCTTGGCCTTAGTCTCTTCCTCTTCAGCAGGGCAATGCCTGAAAGTGATGGTTTGGTCTGTCTTTGCTTGCTTTTGTCAAAGCCTTAGGGTTGACCCAAAACTACATTCTGTTCTTCCCAAGATGGTCCTGCTTGTATCTGATGTTCTGGGCTCATACTTTAGGGATATTTTCTGTCCATCTCAGATGTGTGTAAGTCTGGGTAACACATTGTTGGTCTATGTAGTGTCTGATTTGGCCACATGGCCTGGCTGGCTCACTCCCTGTCATTTCTTTGCCTCCCAGCCTTTGTAGAAATGAACCTCTCAAAGGCAGCATTTCTGTAAATGGTAGTTTATTCATTGTTCTCAGTTCCTAAGCATGGCAGGTTGTTGTGCATGATGGGTGCTGCGTAATTCTTAGTAATTGGGGGTGGGGTCGATGGAGGTTCTTACAACAGCAACCATAAGGCTGCCTGGGGAGCTGCCTGTCTTCCTTCCACCTTTCCATTCATCCATCCATCTATCCCAGCCTTTTGTCCTTCCTGTAGCCATCCCCACTCCGACCTCATCCATCTACTTATTGTTGATATTCTGTAGAAATAAGACCTGAAGTGAGGATAGGGTATGATTTTGCCTTTACTGAAGCCCCTGTGCACAGACAGCTCATGTCCCAGGATGCAGCATCAGTAACACCTCTGATGAAAGATTCACAAGGCCCAGATCAGATCTCATTCTTACTTTTCATCCTCACCCTTCAGGTGGTCAGGTGCACCTGGGATCCATGCACTTCACACGAAAGAACAAAGTAAAAAGGTGCATACATCTTGAGGTTTTCAGCCAGAGAGAGGAGAGCCATAACAACATTTGAAGTGATCCTTAAAGTTAAACCAGTCTGTGCTTAGAGCCAGCTCTTTGAGGTATAAAGACCGTGGGCCAGTTACAGGCAGTCCTTTTGTTTAAGGTCTAAGAAGAAAATGGTGGGCAAGGGGCCAGGGGGATTGGGACCCTCTGCTAAGCACAGGTGAGCAGAATTCTTGTCAGCACTAACATAAACCTGTCTAACTTTTCCTTGTTTTATCCCTTCTGTGCTGGTTTTTTCCTTCCTATTTGTCGCACACAGGGATAGAGAGAGCACTGGATTACAGAGACAAACGCACACAGAGGTATCTGAGCATACTTCAGCAAGTTCATGGAAAAGGATTAAGATTTTTAAAAAATTATGGAAGAAATATGCGTGGATTTAAAAAAAACTACTAAAGATCAATCTTTTATTTCCACTTATCACATAGTCTATGCTTTTGTTAGAAATTTGCATTTATAAATAAAAATGTATTCATCAACCATACAGATATCTCCTGATTTTTTTTTTTAAGAAATGAAAAATACAGAGATCATTTAAAAAAAAAAAAGAATGATTGCTGGAGTTGCAGTGGGTTAAGCCGACACCTACAGTGCTGGCATCCTATATGGGTGCCGGTTTAAGTCGGCTCTTCGACTTCTGATCCAGGTACCTGCTAATGTGCCTGGGAAAGCATCAGAAGATGGCCAAGTACTTGAGTTGTTGACCCCTGAATAAAACTCCTGCCTCCATCCCTGGCCGTGGAAGCAGTTTGGAGAGTGAACCAGCAGAGCAAAGATTTCTTTCTCTCTCTCTCCCTCTCTGTAATTTTGATTTCCAAATAGATTGGTCTTGGGTGGAAAAAAAATATCTACAAGGAATAAGCATTTTAAACAAGCTTTAAAAATGAAAGTAATTTAAAAAAATTAAATGCTTTGACTAGTGACTCATGTATATAAAGATGCAAAAATGAACATTTTTTTTGTTGTTGTTTGTTTGTTTATTGTTTGAAAGGCAGATTTTACAGAGTAGCTAGATCTTGAACCAGAGCTCCTATGGGATGCCAGTGCTGCATTTGGCAGCTTAATGCACTATGCCACAACTCCAGCCCTCTTTTTGTGTTTCTTGACCTTGTGTATTCTGTAAGGAAAAAGTAAGGTCTACTAAAAGTGGAGAGGTAATTATCCTTTACTGTTAGGAAAAGCCACAGATCCTCATCACAGAAACGTCCCCTCAGTTGTTACTAAGATAGGCAAATTAAATGATTAACCAGCTGTTCTTTATGAGTATTAAGTGCATATCTAAAGTAATCTGAATTGCCTTTGCTTCTGTGTGTGCAGTATGAATGACAACACGTTTGCACTTATGTATGTGAAGTTTATAGGTTTTTACCTTAAATACATTATCCATTTTCAGTCTCAGAAATTATTAGGCAATAGACAGAGTACTCTTGAGTGAGTCTCAGTTTTCACTATGAGAAATTCAGGAGACTTTGCCACAACTTGATACTTCCGTGTGTTGCTCTCTCTTCTAACCATTGGACACTAAGACACTTGGATTTATTGCCATGTGTGTTTACCATCACAGCAAAGTTCAGACCCTTTTAAAACAGGTTTTCTTTGTTCACCTCCAGGGTTACCAAGGCATGGTGGATGGAGGCTCCAACATTGTAGAAGCCAACTGGGAGAGCGTCTCCAGCATTCTGCAAGTGGTGAGTCCTAGCATGCTTTTGATGTAAGGATAGCTTCTGGCTTTAAATGTTACTCTGAGCGAATGGATGCTGACGGGCATTCCTCTTGGCTCCTTGCATGAAAGAAAGCACCTTGCACTTCGACGGTTGCAATGAAAATCTCTGCGTTATGTAGACTTGGAAAGTACAGCTGCGGTTTAAAGTTGTTAGGTTTTGGGGCATTAGATTTGGCCTTTGCCTGGGTGTAATGACTGCCTTTGGCACCTGCCTGGCTCTAGTTTCCTGCAAATGCAGATTCAGCTCTGATGGCTTGAGTATTCAGATCCTCGCCTCCATGTGGGAGACGGGGATTCAGCTTCTGCCTTTGGCATGGCTCTGGCTTTCAGGGAGCGAACCGCTATCTGGGAATGCTAGCTGTCTGTCAAAAATGAACTTTTTAAAGTTATGTGCTATAGCCAGGGATCATTATGGTACTTTCAGTAGGGAATGTTTGTCTTTTTAGATCAGAGCAATGTGGAGGCCACTTGGGCTGGCTGTTGTTGGGTGTGTGGCAAATATCCATGTCTGTTGAATTGATGCGCATGCCTTGGAGTTAAGCTTAAGAAAGCCTGGGAAGGATTCAGATGCAGCCCTCGAGGGCTATGGATCTGATGGGAGCACTGCATCCCATGTTGGTCTGAATCAGATAGGGCTAATTTCCTTGGTGTGTACAGAAGTGAAGCAATTGCCACTTACAGTTGCTTGCTTGGAATTTAATGGCAAGCTGCCCAAGGATTTTTATGCCCGGTCAATTCTAGTGACACTTGGTGAAGGATCTAAAACAGGGAGAAATAGAGAGGTCAGGTGGAAAGAATGGACTTCTTAAGAAGCCTTTATGATTTGATCTCTTTCAGAGTATGTATTAAGTTTTAGTTCATTTTGCGTGCTTTCTAACAGAAAATCAAATTGATTCATTCATTCTGAATATGCTAGTGTTGTTTCCGTGTTAGACACAGACTTGGCATCTGTACTTGGTGGGAGAGATTGAAGGAAACTTTGACAACCGTCAATCATTAGGTTGGACAATGGCAAATCAAAGTCAGGAGAACAAGCCTATCTATTCTTTATACTCACCCTGATCTGCTTGTTTCTTTTCTTTTTCCTTTGTGATGTCACCTCATTATTGTGTCCTAGTCACATCTACTAGATAGAGGGTGGGCATCCCTCATGTAAAATCTGAAGCGCTCTGTGATCTGAAACTCTGAGCATTGACATGAAATTATAAGTAGGGAAATTCTCCCATGCATTGCTTAAACATATTATCTGGCATCATGGTTGAGCTGCTGCTTGGGCTGTCTGTAGCGCAAATCCAAGTCCCTGCTCATGTTCACAGCAGCGCGTAATGGCCTTGCAACCCCAATGGTAGCTTGAGATCAGGTTCTAAGCCCCTGGCTTCTGCTTGGCCCAGCCCTGGCTGGCACATACATTTGGGAGAGGGAATCCAAATGTAAGAAAGCACTTTTACACCGCCCCTCTTTATTATTAGTAGTATTGGAAAGATATATAGAGAAGAGGAGAGAGGGTGAGGAAAATCTTCCGTCTGATGATTCACTCCCCAAGTGTCTGCAATGGTCACAGCTGAACTAATACAACACCAGGAGCTTTTTCTGGGTCTCCCACACGGGTGCAGAATCCCAAAGCTTTGGGCCATCCTCAGCTGCTTTCCCAGGCCACAGGCAGGGAGCTTGATGGGAAGGGGAGCAGCTGGAATACGTTAGAGGACCACACGGGATCCTAGTGCATGCAAAGCAAGGACTTCAGTGACTAGGCTACCACGCCAGACCAGTACAGGGGGCAGTGTTGTGTTGCTGGCATGCCTTATGGGGACTGGTTCGTGTCCCATATGCTCGACTTCTCATCCAACTCCCTGCTTAGGGCCTGGGAAAGCACCAGAGGATGGCCCGTGTCCTTGGGGGCCCTGCTCTGATGTAGTTGATGCAGTAGAAGCTCCTGGCTCAGCTCTGGTCATTGTAACCGTTAGGAGATGGAACCAGCAGGTGGGAGGTCTCTCTCTCTCTGAGTAGCTCTAACTTCCAAATAAATCTTTTTAAGAAAGAAAAAAAAACCAAACTGAAAACATTTATACCTTTACCACATTAACTCCAGTCTGTGTGTACAAGGTATATAATGCACAAAGCTGATTTTACACTATGTCTATAAGGTTTATGTGAAGAAAATGAATTTTGTGTGGGACCCTAAGAAAAGTACATATAGGTACTCTTAAAATGCGAATCATTTGTGGTCCCAAGCATTTTAATGAAAGTGTTTCAATTAAGATGTACTCAGTAACACAGATCAATGTCCTGTGAACATTAATGAATTTCAGTTTTCAGAGCACCCTCTTTTTTCAAAAAACAAAGCATTTATTTATTTATTTATTGGAAAGGAAAAGTTACAGAGAGAGAAAGAGAGATCTTCCATCTGCTGGTACACTCCCCAAATGGCCGTAGTGGCTGGGTTGGGCTTTTCTGAAGCCATGAGCCAGGAGCTTCATCTGGGTCTCTCATGTGGCTGCAGGGGCCCAAGCACTTGGGCCATTCTCCCCTGCTTTCCCAGGCCGTAAGCAGGAAGTTAATCAGAAATTGAAACAGCCAGGCCTTAATACGGAGCCCAAATGGGATGTTGGTGCTGCAGGTGAAGGCTTATCCTACTCTGCCACTCTGCTGTAATCATTTGAGCAAGCTAATGGGTAGAAATTTTCATGTAAAAATGAGGTTTTCTGCTTTGCAGTAAAAATTCATCAAAACGAATTGTACACATGCACTTTTGGTATGTCAAGACGTGGAGCATGACATAGCTCCGAGGCACTTCCTGTATTCTGTATGCCAGCAGGTCTGTTTCCAGCCCAGATCCACAAATGTGTGCACTAGTGCCCCGGTTGATGATGTATACGTGCAACTGAGATAACTTCAAATGAGAGTTTTCTTAGTCTATTTCTGGCTTATTCAAAGGAATCCTGCAAGTTTCTAAGTACTGCTCACCGCTGTTAGTGTTTGAGAAACTGAGTGTGAAAATGATGAGTTGGCTGTCCTGGAAGTTTGGGTTCATAGATGCCTGTTTGTCTTAAATGTAGGGTAAGGTCTGGGGAGCCGAGCTCTGCCGCCCTGCTGTTTCTGCACCCGGGGCTACAACACCAGCAGTTGTCCTTGGCTCTGTGTGTGCATAGTCCACCCGTTAGGGCCGGGACTGTTTTGACACAGACAAGCCTGGTGGCTTCTCTTCTCAAGGGTTCTTTTGCACTCTGTTTATGTGATGGTTGTCCGCTGTCTTTGCGTCTACTCCTTGGCCATTCGTGAGCACGGCGTGTATGTATGTCTTACTCCATGGAAATCCAGGATGGGGCCAGTAATGGCGAAATTGCAGACTTGCTAGCTGGCTGATGTAAGCAATGGAAATGAGGAGACCTGGGTTCATCTCTTAGCCTAGGCACAGGCTGACGACCTGGCTTTCTGTAAGTGAATGTGTTTGCTTCTCTTCCAGGGTGGGACGATTATCGGCAGCGCACGCTGCAAGGCCTTCCGGACTCGGGAAGGCCGCCTCAAAGCTGCCAGCAACCTGGTCCATCGGGGCATCACAAACCTGTGTGTCATTGGGGGTGATGGAAGTCTCACTGGGGCCAACATCTTTCGGAAGGAGTGGAGCGGCTTACTAGAGGAGCTGGCCCGGGATGGTAAGAGTCCACTTCCAACTGTGGGTTGCTTGTTCCTTGTTGGTCTTCCCTTGCCTTCAAGGAAGTTCTGGAACCCACACATCTGCCAACATCTGTTAGCGATTACAGAAGTAGCAGTGCTTATCATTGCAGCAGATCTTAAAGAGTTCACTGTCATGGGCCTGGCATGGTAGCCCAGTGGCTAAAGTCCTTGCCCTGCGTGTGCTGTGATCCTATATGGATGCCAGTTCAGATCCCACCTGTTTCACTTCCCATCCAGCTCCCTTCTTGTGGCCTGGGAAAGCAGTGGAGGACGGCCCAAAGCGTTGGGGCCCTGCACACCTGTATGGGATACATGGAGGAAGCTCCTGGCTCCTGGCTTCAGATCCGTGCAGCTCTGGCTGTTGCAGTTACTTGGAGAGTGAACCAGCAAATTGAAGATCTTTCTCTTCCTCTCTGTATATCTGACTTTCCAATAAAAATAAATAACTCTTCAAAAAAACAATTCACCATCAGAGTTTTTTGTGCCTCAGATGATGACAGTAATGTAGTTAAGATGAATAATGATTTAGTGACAGTAACAGTAATTCAGGATAATACTTATTTGACATCACTGTACATGAGTCACTGCTCGAGGGTGTATTATTTTTTAAATTTATTTCTGTTTACCTGAAAGTTCTGCCATCTGCTGGCTCGCACCCCGAATGGCCATAATGGGTGGGTCTGGGTTGGTTCAAAGCTAGGATCCTGTAGCTTTCTTAAAGCAATTGCTTGATAAAATAATATATGTATATATATATTTTTTTGCTCGCCAGTTGGAGCACGTGGTCTCTTCCTGCCTTTTATAATAAATCCCCTATGACAGCTCATGTTTTAGGTCATGACTTTGACCTTTGTGTGGCTTTTTTTTCCTTTACTACCAGGTAGTGTCTACCATCCTGAGAACAGAAGTTTAGGGTAACTGGTGTCTCCATCCCTGGCCCTTGTGGCTCACGTCCAGCAGTTGTGGCTGGTTATGTGACACTGTTGCTTTGTTCCCGATGCAGGCAAGATTGATCACGAAGCCGTGCAGAAGTACGCTTACCTCAACGTGGTGGGCATGGTGGGCTCCATCGACAACGACTTCTGCGGCACCGACATGACCATCGGCACCGACTCGGCTTTGCACAGAATCATTGAAGTTGTCGATGCCATCATGACCACTGCTCAGAGGTGAAAGGACTGTGAGGCACCAGTGGGGTCGAGTCCATGTTCTGCTAGCTCTAGGTGTCACAGATGGGGGTCCTTTTGTAACTGGAGTCTTAGAAATAACTACAAGCAAACTGGTATATTTTCAGTGTTTTCTTTAAAAAAATTTGCGGTTTAAATGTTAGTATATAGAGAACATATTTATATGAATTTCATTGATGTATGGTTCCAAGGGGAGTGTCGGGTACAGTATGCTTTCCTTATTTTTCTGGTTCCAAATGAACACTACGTTTATAAGAGTGAAAACAGAAGGATAAAAATCTAGTTACCTGGAGGCTTACTGAAAGCTCTTCTGGAGGAACAAATAGCAAACAGGATAAAATCGGTGTGCATGTTGCCACATTACTCAGTAGAAACGGGAACATTGTGGGTGGAGCGGCGCTGTTGTGTCCGAGGTGTTAACAGGCTTAGGATGGACCAGTGTGCAGCACTCCACTGTGGCACCAAGAGTGCCTGGAGACTTCTTGTGAGAACCCTATGAAAGCGTAAACAAAACCAGTGTGTGACTCCCATTTTGAAGGCGAAGATCTTGAGACTTGACGTACCGGGACATATCCCTGGAGAGCGGGACTTCCTGGGTCGTCCTTTTGTGTTTTTCCCATTCGCCATACTGCCAGGCTGGTTCTCAGCCTGTGCGTGTGAACTCCGGGTGCCACTAGCAAACCACATCTCCTCCAAGTTGCACGAATCTGTCTGAGCAGTGGGGATTTTGTGTTTAATGTTCACTGACCACTCACAGAGCTGAGTTTATAAGACTCATTCTTACATGTTTATGTGGGTTATGTCCAGTTCCTGGTGCTTAAGGCAGAGGGAGCCGTCTGTGGCCCGTACAGTCAAGCTGTTGGCCGAAGCACGGAAGGTGTCCTAGCTGTGTGTGTTAGGGAACGAGCAGGTACATCCTCTCTAGTGTGTTGCTAGAAAGTGCAGTCCTTGATAAAGCTATGTACTCCTGTAGCTTGAGACGGGGTCTTGGAGGCATTTGCTTTGGTAGGAGACGAATCATTTCAGGGAAAGCTTAGATATCTGCCTAAGTATTTAGCTTGGCTCTGCGAGCTCTGTTGTCTTTGTTCTGCGTGTTCTGTCCAGTGCTTGTAACGGATACCCTTTGTTCTTTTCCAGCCACCAGAGGACTTTTGTTCTGGAGGTGATGGGGAGGCACTGTGGGTATGTATCTGCACATGTGGTTCTGGTGATAAGAGCCTTGCATGCCACTTCCTCGGGAGCCTGGGACCCCACCTCACCATGGCTGCCATGCGGGGTGTTGATAACTTATCATTTCTGATGTAGGTACTTGGCTCTGGTGAGTGCCTTGGCCTGTGGTGCAGACTGGGTGTTCCTTCCGGAGTCTCCGCCAGAAGAAGGCTGGGAGGAAAGCATGTGCGTCAAGCTCTCCGAGGTGATTTGCACTGTGTTGGCATTGACCAACGCTAGCTCTGGGGGGCATTCCTTCGTTAGTACTCCTAAAGGCCTTTGGAACAGCCAGTGGGGCTCATAAGCACATGAGAACTTGATTATCAAAGGCAGTCCCCGTTTGTGGCACCTGCCCATCTGATTCCTGCTCACGTCTCCTCCGAGTGTTGCTTAGAATGAGGTAGAGAAACATTGAGACCTCCTCGTCATTCAAAGCATTGGTTCACAACTTGAGTAGGTGCTGTGAGATCACAGCTATTAAATGAACTCAGACTCGGGGAGAAAATCTGTTTCCTGTTCTGTTCCCACATACTGAGCTTGCACAGACCTGCGTCTGACTCACCGCTTCTTATTCCCCTAACATAAGCTGAGTCAGAAGCCGGTCCTCTCTCTGCCACGAGGTGTCCCTTGTGTTGGCGTTTCAGGTGTGGCCCTTTGCTGATTATTCCGAGTCTGATTTTTGCTTGGGTTGGGAGGTTTGGTGCATGTCCTCTGTCCTTCCTGACGGCGTCTCTGCCCTGGTCTGGGAGGACATTACCATGGCCCTGGCTCCAATGGAAACCCATTAGAGATGGGGAAGGAGAGCTGCAACTCACTCTTGGTGCACGGCAGGCAGAAAGAACAGTTGTGGTAATGCTCTGGGCTTGGAACACTCATTTGGTTTTTAGTTGCTGATTTTGGTTCACTGGCTACTTAAAAAAAATACCATTATATCTACAAATCTTCATGAGTTCTAGCCTTGAGACCATCCACTATGACCAGAATTGGAGAGTCTGGCGTAGTTGTACCAATAATGCTAACTACCCACTGCATAGAAACGCTTGATATTGCTGTATTCTGCCATTTATTTATTTATTTTTAAAGAAGAAGTTTTTTTATTATTATTTTTTTATTACAAAGTCAGATATACAGAGGAGGAAAGTCAGAGGAAGATCTTCTGTCCGATGACTCACTCCCCAAGTGACTGTAGCGGCAGGTGCTGTGCAGATCTGAAGCCAGGATCCAGGAACTTCTTCCGGGTCTTCCACACGGGTGCAGGGTCCCAAAGGTTTGGGTCGTCCTCAACTGCTTTCCCAGGCCACAAGCAGGGAGCTTGATGGGAAGTGGAGCTGCCGGGATTAGAACCGGCGCCCGGTGCATTTAAGGCAAGGACTTTAGCCACTAAGCTACGCTGCCGGGCCCTCTGCCATTTATTTTTTGCTGGTCATCAGTGTAGCACTGCAAGAATTTTTCTAAATATCTTGCAGGATGAGCTTGCCTAGGAAACAAACCCCTAAAACATGTATTTTGGTGTCATTATTAATAGATCTTTCCTAGGACTAAACTTTAAGTTATTATTAACTAACTCAGTGGTTTGTGGTAAATAAAATTAATCTTCCTAGTTCCAAAGTTCCTCATCTATAACATGTGGTAATACTGCTGCCAAATTCTTCCCTTTTTTTTTTAAAGACTCGATAAATGTGTCAACCCAAATAAAGAACAACAGGGTGTTCAAACTCTAGAGTCAAGATAGTACCTCGCTGTATATGGATCGCCCTGTTACTTCTCATCACTTCGTTGAACGAGTCATGACTGGTTAGCCAGGGCCACATGTATGGATACTGTCCTTTCATCATTGCCCCCAAATAATGCTAAAATAATCCTCACAGTCCTCAAGGGATTCTTTCTGATGCCCAGGCTCTTCCAAGTGCAGTACATTTATTATCTGTCCAGAACTGACAGGCAGATCCTGTGTTTGTTTCGCCTGAGACTGAGCCACGGTGAGCCTTGTTAGACCAGTCCACTTGTGATAGGAGCAGGGGCAGCTCCAGGCACTGGCAGCACTGGGTCCTCTGCAGCCACCACCGGCTTCCTCCCAGGCACGACGTTGCACTGGCAACCTTGTAGGAAGCGACTCCATTGGAGCAGTTGCTCTGTTCATTTCGGAACATTTGCTATGGTCACAAGACCCTCTGGGAGCAGATACGAGGTCGTCGCAGCTGCCACAGATACTGCGTGGCGCCCTTTGGCTGTCCCAGTGGGTCCTGGGTCAGTGCTCTGTCCTCTTCTGCTCCTGCTTCTTTTTTTCTGTTTGTATTGAAATAGAGTTTACATACCAAGACGTGTATGCAAGTATATTTATAAAATGGGCTTTTTTTTTTGTCTGCTCACTCATAAGCAGAGCATTACTGCAAAGGTCCTCATTTTCTCCTCTGCTTCTCATTTTTGAACATGTGAAAAAGTGTGTCGTCGTTGCACGGTGTGATTCAGTGATTTTCATTGCTCTGCCTGTCTGCTTCCAGCACCCATACACGTTATATGAGACGTTGATTCTGGTACAGAGTTGCTGGCCTTGGACACATGAGTGGGTGGGGTAAGAAGCTCTAGATTTGAAGGAGACAGAAGTGTGGCTTGAAGGAGACGCCAGGCTGCAGGGGGGTGTGGCAGGGGAGTCCAGCCTCTGTTCTCTCCTGATAAGCACTGCTGTCTGTCAGCCAGTCAGTTTCCTTCCGCCTCTGTGTCACTGTAACATTGCCTGCGCTACCAGATGCCCACAGCTGCTTCCCACTGCTTCGCCCGAGCAAACCCTGCCCCCTCCCAGCACCTGATCCCCTACCCCCTGCTCACTACCTGCCCCCTCGCTTACCCCTGCCTCTTCCCTTCTCCCTCCTGTTGCTCTCCCTCTTGGCTCAGTCCTTCCCTACCCCGCCTTTGACCTTCTTCACAAGCAGTTCTCATGAAATGGTGTCAAGATTTCGCTGGCTGGCAAGAAGCCAGTATTCAATCTGGGACAGAGTTCCTGGGTGTGTGTGTGCGCGCACACTGATTGGGAATGGATTACTGATTTGAGCATTTTTTATTCTCTCTTTCCTTAGAACCGTGCCCGAAAGAAAAGGCTGAATATTATCATTGTGGCCGAAGGAGCCATCGACACACAAAACAGACCCATCACCTCTGAGAAAATCAAGGAGGTAAATGTGTGCGCCTGGCACCTCCCTGGAAGCAGGAGATGCCGGCTCAGTGCCAGGGTTTCGGTCTAGAATGCTGCCTTTTATTAAACCGTATTTTTGTTTTTCTCCCCGCTGTTTGACACTGTTTTCATCATGACCCATCACTTGAATGGCACGGAGTCCGTACAGCTCCAGGTCTCGAGTCCCGTGCTTCCTGTGCTCTGCTGTCCCTGGGGTGTCTGACTCCCCCCCAGGGGCAAACACAGCAGAGATGGCGGCGAGAGTGAGGGAAACCGCAGAATTTTTAAAAAACATTTATATATTTGTTTGAAATGCAGAGTTCCTAGGCAGATAGAGAGGGAGAGAAAGAGAGATCTTCGATCCTTTTTTTTTTCACTCTCCAAATAACCCTTTGACTTGGTGCTAGTCTAGTCCCAACAGCCATCTTGTGCTGTTTTCCCAGAGGCCTCAGCAGGCAGCTGGATCAGAAGTAAAGAGCTGGGACTTGAACCGGTACCTGTATTGGAGGCTTCCATCACAGGCAGTTGTTTTAGGTGCTGTGCCTCAGCACTGACTTCTATGAGATTATAACTTAAATATCAACAGTGTTGAGGATGAGGACTAACTGGACTGACTGCTTGGCAGCTAGCCCAGCCTTGTCCCTTTATAGCAGTAGAAAAGGGCATGTCCTCCTCTTCCCAGCCTTCCCTATAGCCTAGGTATACATTCTCAGAAGGCATGGGCTTGAGTCCGTGCCTCCTCCTGGCTTGCGGAGGACAGATGCTGGCAAGATGGTAGCCCTGAGGCCTTATCACCCTGGCACACGCCATCTTGACGCGACTCTGACATCAAATGACATGGCATATCCCAAAATGAAATCTAAGCAGGAGACGACTAACTTAGACCTTAAGCTACAGCTTATACCAGCAGACCTGACCAAGCTGGCTTTGTAGAAGTGATGGCTTTAGGGTCAATTCATGTGCAAAATGAGCCTCTCATTGATCCCAGTATCAACTCTGCTGCTAGGTATTAAATCACTGGCATGCTTGTGAGAGATATACACCAGTGTTAACAAGTGGTCAATAAAATTGGGGCAAAGTGAGATTAGATTATGGAATGTTGGCCTAAGGAGGGGTTTTGGAGTTTATATAGCCCAACTTCGTTGCTTTTACAAAGGAGTAAGCCGAATTTCAGAAGTTTGGTGGCTGACCTAAGTCCCAGGATAGCATTCTCATGTTCCCAGGGTTGGGGCTGGGGGGTGGGATTTGCCGTGGTTCCACTGTGTCTTGATAATCAAGTCACAGCTGTACAAATTTAGAATGACTCCATGGGAATGTGGGAATGTTTACATTTTTGGCAAGATATAGCTATTTTAAACATAAGCTATTGAAACAACATTTTCAGAAAATCATTTTAAATATATATGTACACACACATATATATTTGCTAGATGGGAAGCAAAAATTTTATTGGACAATAAGAGAGTAATGTAAACTTTATTCCCCACTAGTTATTAAATGCCCCCAAAGCAAAATTCAGATATGATGAATTTACCCAAGTAAGGTGTAGAGATTTTTTTTTAAAATTTTTATTGGGAAGTCAGATATTAGGAGGAGATACAGGAAGATCTTCCGTCTGCTGATTCATTCCCTAAGTGACTGCAATGGCTGGAGCTGTGCTGATCCAAAGCCAGGAGCCCGGAGCCTCCTCCGAGTCTCCCATGGGTGCAGGGTCCCAAGGCACTGGGCTGTCCAGTCCACAGGCAGCTAGCTGGATGGGAAGTAGGGCTGTCTGGATTAGAACTGGTGCCCATATGAGATCCTGGCGTGTGCAAGGGGAGGGTGCTGGGCCCAAGAGGGTTTTTGTTGTTGTTGTTGTTTTTGTTTGTTTGTTTTACTCTGCCTTCACCTGTTAATCCCGCCCTGGTGCTGTGTTTCCTAATGGAGCTCTTTGCCCACAGCTTGTTGTGACACAACTGGGATATGACACCCGCGTGACCATTCTTGGGCATGTGCAAAGAGGAGGGACACCTTCGGCATTTGACAGGATCTTGGTAAGTGACGATGGAGGGGCCTGATGTTTTTCACGAGATCTTCAGGAAAGAAAGCATTTCCAGGAATCTGAAGGGACTGGGGCACCATACTGTCAGACTCATCCCTAAAGGTGTTGGTGGTTCACAGCCTCGCTGACCCCTTTGAGACTGTCTGACCTAACATGATTTCTCAGATGAGGTTGCTGAGATTCTTGGAGACCCCACTCAATGGGGGTGGGGGGTGAGTGGGTGCCAGGAGTGTGAACTCCAGTAGGTGAGACAGTGGTGTTCCAAGTTTCTAGCAAATGGCCCAAGAGGACAGCAGGTATCCGGAGTCCATATCCTCTTTTCTTAGTATCTCCTACTCTTCAGTATATCTTCTCACCTTCCCCCTGGCCTCCACCCTCCTGCCCATCTGGCCAGTTCTTACTAAAATTGCCATCTCATTCTTAAAGAGAGGTGGCTAGCAGCGAGAGGGTGACAGGTGGTCCCCTCCTTACAGACAGCAGAGAAAGTAAACAGGAAATGGACCCCTAGGTAGTCTCCAAAAGCCAAGGGCAGGTGCTATGACCTCTGCGGGTGGCTCGGGGGTCAGTGGGATGCATGGGCTGCGTCTCACCACCCTGAACATGGCTTCCAGGCTAGTCGCATGGGTGTGGAGGCAGTCATCGCCCTGCTGGAGGCCACCCCTGAGACCCCGGCCTGTGTCGTGTCGCTGAGTGGGAACCAAGCTGTTCGGCTGCCCCTCATGGAGTGTGTGCAGATGGTGAGTTTGGTGCTTGGGGGCTGGAAAGGCATACAGAAACTGCCTGCTAGGCTGGGCTGGTACTGTGGCGGCTCTGCTCAGCTGGTAATTGGGTGAGCAGAGAGTTCTGTGGCTGTGTAGATGGGCTGGGCTGGGCTGCCTCATGGGCAGTGACAGCACGCCCCCTCTGTTCACTCAACAGTGTAGAGCCTGCTTGTTTTCTAGTCTGTCAGGCACGAATAGCCACTGAGGATTGTTCAGTGTCTAGCCACAGAAGACCTAGGTAGTCCTTTAATGAACCCCAGGTGCTTCAGGGGAAAAACAAAGAATGGGAAAATGGCTCTGCCAGAAGCTTGTGGTGCAGCGTTTCACAGCTACAGGATGCTGTGGTGAAAATCCCTGCAGTTTGAACCAGTTCCTGTCCTGTTCCTGAGCGCTTGCAAGCATGGGACAGGATGATGGAGAGCTCCTTCTGATGGCTTTGAGACATGTGCCCACCCCCTTGAGGCCACAGAGAGCCTGGAAGAGGATAAAGAAAACATGAGTTTTACTTGCTTTTTAGGGTAAGGTAGGTGGGGTGGTGATGGCAGGCCATTGTAGTAGAAATCCCTAAGTGTTATTTATCTGCTCTTTCCAATGAACCTGATTATAATAAGCCTGTTATGACATCTTCAGATAAGGGACTAAGGCAGTCAAGGAGCTTATTGAAAGTGACCTTAGAAATATTAGTTTTCAAAAAGCCTTGGGAATTCAAGTATGGAGGGCTTGTGTCCTCGTTCCTGTAGGACTGTGTGTGTGTGTGTGTGTGTGTGTGTGTGTGTGTGTGTGTGTGTGTTTGGTGTCCTTAGGGACAGGAGACAAGAGGTGGCAGAGGTAGGTTTGACAAATCATGGTATGTGCCTGTGTGCAATCCATTGATTCCTAGCCCATTTCTCACATCTTGCATCTAGACAAGGGGTAGCTAGAATTTGGCTTGTCCTGCTAGCCACTCTAATGAGATTTTCTCATTAAAAGTCATATTGAGCCGGTTGTTAAACGCCTGCTTTCCTTATGTTGTCTTCAGAGGCAGAGCTATCTGTAATCGCCAGAGATAGGACTACTATCTTAGAGTGGAGGACACCGAAGTTTGCAGGAATCAGGAATTTGCCTGGGAGCCTCTGGTTCCCTGGGACTTGCTTCCCTTGTTGCCTCTCGACACCCCTCAGCCTGTGTGTGTGATCACAGGCAGGTCCCATGTTCGGATTCATCTTCCCCAGAATCAAGTTGCACCTGTTACGCAGCCTTGTGCTTCTCCAGCTTTGCTCTGGTGCAGTGCAGCCTTTGTGATTTCATGGCCTCCGCAGTAGGTGCTGCCTCCTTTGCTCAGAGGCAGCGTGAGCTGCGCCGACCTCCGACTGCCGAACTGTGGGCAGTTGGTGGTCTAAGTCCACCCACGTAGGTCCAGCTGCCTGGCCAGGGTAGATTGGGACTGCAGTCGGGGACCAGCAATGAAATAACTGGCTAGGCTTGCCTCCCACCTGTTCTCTGCAGCCATGAATAGTCTACATAGTGACACATTCTTTCTTCCTTTCATTATTTCTGAAAGACTCAGGATGTGCAAAAGGCCATGGATGAGAGAAGATTTAAAGATGCTGTACAGCTCCGAGGGAGGTGAGTTGTTTGGAAGAAAATTGCTGTCTTAGGAACGCCTGTGTCTCGGTCCTAGCCAGGTAGAAGGTGCTGAGAGATTGGGTGTATTCTGTGTTGGTGTATTTCAGAAAGTAAGACAACTGTTTTCTCTATTTGACTTTGGAAGCTCTTTTTAGGCAGGGTAGAGGTTGTTCAGAACTTGATGTAATTAAGGGACATGGTGACACATGGCCAGTATTTTGACAAATAAATCTTCTAAGTGCCACCAAATCGCGGTACTTTTGTGTTGCCTTCTGAGCTAGAATGAGATCATACTGGCAGTGCCTGTGGGGGCTTGGCAGGATATGCTGGTATCCCAGGGTTACAGCAGTCAACAAAGTGGAACTGGGCAGAATTACCTGTCTCATGAGACATGGGCCTGGGGCGCATGGGGAGCACCCCTGCTGAGTCCAGAATTGTAACCGTGGCCCCCGTGATCATTTTTTCTTCTAGGAGCTTTGAAACCAACCTGAACACCTACAAGCGACTTGCCATCAAGCTGCCGGATGACCAGATCCCGAAGGTACGTCTTTGATGACCTCAGTTCTGCCCTCATCATGGCAGATCCCAGCGCCAGTGTCAACCTCTGGAAACATACCCTTGACCTCTCTGACTGGCCATGCCTTTGTGGCCTGTGTCCCCCGTTCTGTGGTGTGTACCATGGGATGGGCCACTTCCACTGTGTGTGACAGACGAGAGCTTGCACAAACCATGTGACTCCACTGTCTGCCTTCTGCTGCCTTCCAGACTAACTGCAATGTGGCTGTCATCAACGTGGGGGCTCCCGCAGCTGGGATGAATGCAGCTGTGCGCTCGGCCGTGCGAGTGGGGATCGCTGATGGTCACAAGATGTTCGCGGTCTACGATGGCTTTGACGGCTTCGCCAAAGGCCAGGTGAGCCTCCTGGGATGTTCCATGTGAGCACACACCCTGGATTGGACCATCATTTTACAGAAGTCAGCTGCCTAAAACCTTACATTCCAGGATGCTGTGCCATCATGACAGGAATAACTGATGGCTGCAGGCGTGGGGAACGTCCAGCCTGCGGGCCTATGAAATCATTTTCTAGCCCTGCCAAGGCAGCTGTCGGTGTGACTCCAAAATTTAATGAATCAATAGCAGGTTAATTTTTACGTTGATAATGTCATGGTACAATAATGATGTTAGAAAGAAAGGTTCCCAAATCCCTGGGGATAAAGGATTGCTTATTCTCCTTTAGAATCCCAACCGAAAGTGGACTGCAGGTTTCTTATTAAGCCCAGGTAGAAGATAGGCTCATGTTTTCTCTGAAGGCACTAGGGTACAGCGATGTGATGAGAGTCGGGCTAGGGGTAATGCAGAAAAGTGCATGGTAACTGGCATGTATTCACTCACTGAACTGGAAACCTCAGTAACACAGTTAACACTTGAACACCTACTGTGTGCATTAGCGGTAGGTTTCTCAATTCTGAGTTCTGTTGGCTGTAGTTTGTTGGGTTACATGTGTGTATGCATACATATATGTATGTGCACATGAACACATGCTTGGAGAATCACCTGTTTATGTGGGATGGATAGATTTTGAACCTTACCACAGTGTCGCAGTGGATCCCACAGCTAGTCTACCTGAGATTACATGACTAGAAAATGGGAGAGCTGAAGTTTGTGTGTGGTTCATGCTTCATGCACTATAGAATCCTCCTTACTTAATGCATTTGAAAGGCAGAGAATGTGAGAGCGATCTTTCCACCCGCTGGTTTATTTCTCAAATGCCTTTGACTGGAATAGGAGCCTTGAACTCCATGCAGGTGGCCCACGTGGTTGGACAGGCGGAGACTCCTTCACTTGAACCATCACCTGCTGTCTGTCAGGCTGTGTGTCAGCAGGAAGCTGGCATATGGAGTCGAGCTGCAGCAGAAGGCCAGGCACGCTGCTGGTGGACATGGACACCCTGACTGCTGCACCAAATACCTGCTCGTCTCACAGCCCTCGGTGTGAGGCAGCTTCTCGGGCTTCACCATTCACCTGGTTTTTCCTTTTCATCTTTTACGTGTGTGTACATTGTAATGTTAACTTTCTCTTAGCTGCTAGTGACATGAGTTTGGACAGTTAAGTATCCGCATGGCTGAGTGCTCAGGCGCAGAGGTTCCCCGTAGGTAGTGAAGAGGTAGGTAGCCCCACTGGTACTCATGCGTGGCTCAGCCTTAGGGGTCCACTTCGTGTCTGGACTCCCCGACGTCACTCGGCCAACAGGCTCATTGGGCTGCACAGACGCTCATGGCAGTGCAGACTGGGGAAGGTACAGACATCTTGAGCTACTTTGAAATCTCTTAATTCCCTTTCTTTTTTTTTTTCACTAGCTGTCTCATTCTGTGTTTGCACATTAGATCAAAGAGATTGGCTGGGGAGATGTTGGAGGTTGGACTGGCCAAGGAGGATCCATTCTTGGGACAAAACGGTAATTTCCAAATCTCTACTTTCTGGCCCGCATGTAAATGGTTGGATCTTGTTGCCGCCTCTTCCAGCTTCTTCTAAAGGAAGAGGCCCTGGGATAATGACCTCTTCCTGTTCTGGGACTCTGAACCTATCTGGGGGTTGTGGTAAGCCTTAAGGCTTGGAGAGGGAGGGGCAGGTGTAACTTGTGGACAATTGCGTCAATCATTTTTATCATCTTTTTTTTTTTTTTTAATTTAATCTGCCTAGTATGAAAGGCAGATTTATACAGATAGGAAGAGACGGAGGGGGAGAGAGAGATCTGTCTACTGGTTCTCTCCCCGGCTGCTGCTGGGGAGTCCAGAGAGCTCAATCATTTCTCCAAAGTCCCCTGTGACCGTTCTCTCACAGAGACCACTGTGATTGTGCTTGATGGCAGAGTTCTAGTTAGAAGCACATGGCTGAGCCCAGGTGTGGCTGTGTGTTAGCAGGCGGCTGGAGTAGCTGGATGGGTTGGATGGCTTCTTGAGGAGAAAACTGTATGTGAGAGGGCTCGAAGAAAGATAGATCCCCTCGCAGGTGGAAACATCCACGTGCATGCTCCCAGTTGCCATCCCTGAATATTTTTGCTCTCCAAATTCTTATACGTCTACCAAAATTACATGTACTTGCCTTCTTCGATAAGCATGAAGGCAGTTGGAGTGGTTTTTCGAGAGGATCTTGTGTCACAGCCGAATAGCATTTGCCTGGTGATACACTTATCAGAGGCATCATTTGAAACAGATTATAAAATAGGAGACGGACCGCAAGTATGAATGGACGTGCTTTTAAATAGTAATCCATATGCAGGTTATTTGGAACTTGGACATTTCCACTTAGATGATTATTGTTGGTAATTGTAAGCTATTCCAGTAGACATTTTTTTTTTTAAGCTAAAGCAGTTGAATTCTTTTTAGATGAAGTTCTTAAAGCTAAAATGCCCTTTCCCGTTTGGTTTTTGAAATACCGTCTTCTGTGTTGTTAAGACCTGCCTATTCCTGCCTTGCTTCCCTGGCATATGGTTCTGTCAGGTGCTGTTTGCCAACCAGGATGGCTAGAAGAAAGTACCTAACTGTGTGTGCTGCTGTTTAATGTCTGAGTTTGACCATGGGTGGGACCTGGGAGGGTGGTCCTGGGGCAGAATTTCTAAAATGCTCCCTAGTGTAGAATGTGTCGTGGGAAGTGGGAAGCTGGTCTGTATCTGATGCTATCTGTTGGTTTACTTCTCTTTAGTATTCTTCCTGGAAAGTACTTGGACAAGATTGCTACCCAAATACGTACCCATAATATCAACGCCATATTGATTATTGGTGGATTTGAGGTAGGCTACTTTTTCTTGGAACCTGCTCATTAGTTGTGTAGGGGTGAATGTCAGCACATAGTACTGCTTGCCACCTTCACAAACTGGGGTTAAAGAGTCTCCGGTGCAGTTGCCAGCCAATGATGGTAATGCCAAAGGATTCTAAGGCCTGGAGTGAGCATGCACCCAGTTCCAATAAGGTGACTTAGGCGGGATGTGAAAATGCACGTCCTTAACTGGGCTGCAGCCGTTCAGTAGGTCCTTGGTGAGCCTTGTTGTATTGCAAGGCTATGGAAGCAGGTCTGTCTCTTGAGTTTGAATATAGAAATACAGAAACTATTTGAGTTTGAAGTCTGCTGGCCATTGAGAAGTCTGCTGGCCATCTGTGGCTGGATATTGAAAATTATATATTGAACTGTAGCCCTTACTTTAGTTTTTCTGTGAAGAGAAGATCACTTCCATGATCATTTGCAGTGTAATTTAAAGAAAAATAGGAAAAATTTAACCAGGTGTACTTACAAGGGGTTTAGTCTTGCTTGTAAGTGTAAATGTCCTGTTTTCTCCTTTCCCCTTAGAATGCTGCTACCTCTTGTCTATGGTCTTAATGCATCTCTGTGTTGGTTTTTTTAGTGGTTCCGTGGTGTCCCCCTGTGTACCTTGTGTGCTGGCCTCGAAGTGGCCCTCCCCCAGGCTCCCTCGTGCGCTTCCACTCCTGGCACTGTCCCTCCGCCCCATCCCTCCCCGTTCCTCGCCCCCAACGTTGCACACACTTGTCCGACAGGCTTACCTGGGACTCCTAGAGCTGTCGGCTGCCCGGGAGAAATATGAGGAGCTCTGTATCCCCATGGTCATGGTTCCTGCCACTGTCTCCAACAATGTACCAGGTTCTGATTTCAGCATCGGGGCAGACACAGCTCTGAACACGATCACCGACGTAAGTGCCCGGGTGCTCAGCAAAGCAGGCTCGGCTGGTGCTGCTAACCCTCGGGGCCCTGGCCCCTTTATCCACCAGTGCAAGTAGAAATGGCCTTTTCCTGGCCTCTACGCCAGTGTTCTGAATGAGATTTTTTCCCCCTCCCCAAAAAAGCATAAAAGTCCTTTAGGTTCGGAGGAGTCCTTGGTCTAGCTCCCAAGGCTTTTTGAACCACCTCTTTTCCTCGGGAGCTCAGTTGAGATGACTGGTCATACCTGCCTGGACTCATTGACAGCGACTTGTGCTCAGGTGGCACTGGTCATGCTGCTGGGTGATTTGAACTATGATTGCACTTAATTTATTATTTGATTTTTTTTTTTGGTTGATTGTTGTTGAGCCAAATGCACTTCAAGGCTGTGATGAATCCTGGATTCAGAGATCTCAGCCATGATGTGTGAGGCTAAAAATTGAACAAAATGCTCTTAATTTCCTTCCTTAACTTGAATGGACTCTGCATTTCTTACACTTTCGCTTGTGACCATAAATGTTACAGGTCCGCTTGTAAAGAGGGGCATGTAACACTGCATGTAAAGCATCATGCCATTTGAATTCTTTCTGCCAAAAGGCAATCACAAAACTAGAGATACATTCTTAAGACCGTGTTTGTGGATCCTGCTTGGTGTAAGGAACGTGAGTGTTCGAAGGTGCAAACCCACCCCACAGTGCCTTTCATTTGTGAGATGAATTTGCTGTCAATTTTTGTTTCCCAGCAATTCTCAAGTTTATTTTTTTCTGTTGAGATCTGGTTCTCATAGATATATTTCTAAGCTTTTTTTTTTCCCCCCTGAAACTCCTGGCATCTAGCTTGTTTCTAGCACTGGTAGATAAAAAAAAAAAGCTTTCTCAGTTAAAATGGTAAGTAACGCTTAGCACTTGTCTCTGATTCGTCTGAACTTCCTAAACTTTCTGCAGTTTCTTCAGGAAAAGAAATACCAGCCCAGTTTTTGCTGTGCTCAGTGGTGCTGGGGGCAGCAGGTGTCGGCCGTCGCTGCCATCACTAACCTCTTTAGACACTGCTTCAGCTTTCCTGGTCACTGCCGCCGCCGCTTCTCGCTGCTGTTGGACTGCTCTGGGCTCTCTGTTGATCATGATTGTGGGTGGAGAGATGAGCGGGAACTGCAAAATGCATCTTCTCACTTTTCTCACTGCTCTTTGGTCTTGATATACCTAGATTTGGAGTCTACGTAAGCCAGGCTTTCAGTAGATGCAGTTGGGGTTTCTGTTTGTCTTATTTTCCAAGTAGAACAACCCGGGGGGAGGTGGGTGAGAGTTTTCGAAACTGTCGCTTTCGGTCAGCGGGAGCTTCAGCAGGTAATGGTCAGGGCTGGCTTTGACCTCCTGTGGGTGTGTGATATGTTCTGGGCATGAAGAAAAGATTCCCCTGTTCTAAAATTCCAAGGCCATCCGCCATCAAGAACTAAAAAAAAAAAAAATCAATGAAGATTGATTTATTTATTTGAAGGCATAGCTTCGTACAGAGAGTAAGAGGGAGAGAAACAGGGAGATATCGTCCATCTGCTGGTTCAATCCCCAAATGGCTACAGTGGCTGGAGCTGGGCCAGTCCGAATACAGGAACCAGGAGCATCTACTGGGTCTCCCATGAGTGCAGGAGCCCAAGACCTTGAGCTATCCTCAGCTGGTTTCTCAGGTATTTTGACAGGGCACTGGATCAGAAGTACAGCAGCTGGAGACCTGAGCTGGGACTTGTGTGGGATGCTACCACTACAGATAGAGGCTTTACTTGCTATGCCACAATGCCAGATCCAAAAACTTTTTTCATTTTTGATTTGCAAATGGCAAATTGTAATGCATATGTTTTAAAAAATAGAAACGGGTAGAAACATCTCAAGTTATTTATTCAGCTTTCCGTAGCCAGATTTTGTGATTGATTTATATGATTTGTGACTTCGGTGTGTTACTCATTTGAGTTTCTCAAAGCTCTATGGTCCCATGGTTCTATTTGCAAAAGAACAGGGACGAGTGGGCAGTCCACGGTTTCTGATGGCTTCAGGCACAGTCCTGTGTGGTAAGTGGGTGAGTGTGGTCCACACTGTTCAGTTCTGGGGGCCCTGAGGAGTGGGGCCCCCCTGGGTGCGGAGGCGGCTTTAGTCTCCATATGAGTGATGGAAGCCAAGTTGGACAGGATGACACCCAGGGCTGCTGAGGCCACTCAGGAGCCAGGTGAGGGACATGATGAATACAGCTAATAGTCAGTCCTTCTGTGTGCTTTAAAGGTCAAGGAGCCAAGATCCAGACATGACATCAGTTTATCCTGAGTTGTGGGTATTGCAGCCAAAATGAAGTTGAACCCTTCTAAGCGGTTTTGGATTTGGATCTGAAATAGGGTAGAATAGCCATAAAAATAAAGAAAGGGGCCCTGGTGGATGGAGGCAACCCACTCTACACCAAGTCACCTTGGGTCCCTTGCTGCTGCTGGTTATTGGGGGTTGAGAACCTGCAGCAAATTAGTCTGTGTTCACCTTGATGTCGTATTTAAAAAACGGTGGTCTTTGGATGTGCAGTCATGGTCCTCAACAGGTCTGCCAGCGTTGATGCGTAGCTTACAGACACATCCCTGCTGATGGATCTCAGCATCTACCGTCCGGGGTTCTGGGGTGAGCAGATACTGATGAAATACCTCAGAGTAGCTGTTTTAGGACATGCTCATGACATGGCTGAGGGGCGTTTTGACTGGACGTATCTTCCATTCCTCATCGCTGGCACATTTCTTTGCTCAGGTAAAAAAACCAGCCAAAGCAAGCAGAGCGCAGTGGTGCCTTTGCACACTGGGAAGGCGGCATGACCATGAGACTCTCTAGCAGCCTTGATTAGGATGACAACGTAACAGAAAACCCTACTGAGGTTGTTCCAAACCCCCAGCCAATCTGTTCTTGGTGAGGACAGCTCAAAATGTCTCAGGTGGTGGAATGGAGTTTGAAAATCTTCAGAGCTGCCCTGAAAGGCAGGGCGAGTCGCTGCTGCCCTCTGCTGGACCTCACAGGGCAGCAAGATTTTCCTTTTGGAGTTTTATAATTGCCTGTGCAGGGACCTTGTCTCACTCTGCTTTTGTTTTCTTGGCTGTTGTTGAAGGAAACGCCAGGGGGAGGGATGGGGAACTGAAGGTATGTACCTGCAGCAATTGAACTTAAGATGGGGTTCAGGCACTAATGCCCCTTCCCGACTGCCCTCCACCTGTTCCTCCTGGTGTACATCAAAAAGTGGCTCACATAGAGAGCGCTCATTTAGGAGGCAGCTCACCTGCTCCCATTTGACGTTGTCAAGAGCATCTGCACAACAGAACAGCCCACCAGGCTGTAGAGGTAGAATCAGGCAAGCACACACCTCCTGGCATGTCTTTGGTGGTTCTCCTATAGCCTGGCATTTTGAGCCAATTGCTGCAGTAACATTTAGGCATGCCATCTCAGAGGCAGAGCCTGTATGGTACCACATGCTGAGTTCAGGTGCAGGTGGTGGGCACCAGGGCAAATGCACTCACACTTTAGTTGTCCAGTGCTGGCTGTCTAACCCTCCTCCTGTCTACCCTTTGAACTAACCCTTGGGCAGGTCCATGACCCACTGTCCAGAATCCTCAGGCCTCAGGGGGATCCAGAGCTCAGAATGGTTTAGATAACAGAAAGGCACTGCAGAGCACGGGCTGTGTATTGTGTAGCCCTCCAATGGAGACATGAGTCTCCCCACTGTGTGCCAATGTTAATATGTTATGTCTGGGGCAAAATGTACTGATGTATACATTCAGCGGGACAAGTATAAGACTAAATATCGGTGGATTTTGCTGCCCCATGTTGCACACCCCCAGTTTGCTGTGTGCTCAGAGCAGCTTGGATTTGGGGGTGATGGGTGAGTGGACCTGTGTCCTGCTACTAACATGGTTAATATCCTGCGGTAGATGACTCCAACTTCTATCTCCTGCTGGAGAACAGCTGGCCTTTTTGTCCTCAGAGCCAAACGCTTTTGCCTTGGGATTCCAAAGCGATCGATTGATCCATCGATCCGCCGGATTCTTGCTGAGCTACCCCGCTTTGTGTGTGAGACTTGCCAAGGGTCATAAAAACAGAAGCTTCCTCCAGAAAGGAAGTGGGTCCTCCCGAGGAAGAGCAGAGAGCTGGATGCCACAGAGCCAGGGCACCCCGGCTGAGCAGGCCCCAGGCTGGTAATGTCGCTGCATGACGCCTTCTCCGGCTGCATGATGCCTGCCTGCAGGTACCCCACTCTGCCTCTGGCTGGTGCTGGTCATTTGATGTCTTTACAGCCCTGCATTTTCTGCTGTCTCCCCGCTTCCTCCCCCACTGCCTGTGGCAGGAGGCCTGGCCGCTTACTGCAACTTCCCAAGCGATTGGCTCTTCCCACCTACCCCGAAGTGCCAAGCTGTTCCATCCAGTGACTAACACCGATGCCTCCTCCACCTTCCCCCTTGCCTGCTGCCTGCTTTGCTGATTGCTTTGCACTCCCCTCGCCTCCGCTGCTTGTGGTGCCCTCCTGTGGATGCTGGCCAAGAACTGTACCATGTGACCTTGCTGACGCACACCCTGTGCTTGCTTGTTGCAAATCCTGGAATCCCATGATATAGCTTCCCACTGGCGACCCCTGGGTCCCTTCCTGCCATATTCCCAGTGCCACTGCCTGCACCTAGTGACTAGCAAGTACTGTGCCCACACCTGCTAACTGCCACGGCCCTGCTGCTTCAGGCTTACCACGGCATGATTATAATGGGCGATGCGCGAAGCCAGCAGGAGGAATTTTGCATCCCTATGTGCCTCTTGCCGGCTACTATTAGCAACAATGTCCCAGGCACTGACATAAGTATTGGTTCTGATACTGGCCTGAATACAGTTGTTGAGGTAAGAGAACTCTTTCTACTCATGACTTTGTTTTTCTGGTGTGTTTTAACTATTTGTTTCTCTTGCCCTAAGAAGTGTGCCCACCTGGTTAAACTGTCACCCCAGGGTCTTTTACTAATTTACTTTTTGATCCCCAAGTATAAAGTAAAATAAGAACTTCATTTAGTCTTTCAGAATGAAGGAGCCAGTTTTTTTTATCACATTTTTTTAAGTCACATTTTTGCGTAACGTGATAATTTTTCCTTAGTTTCGCTGGTCTTGGCAAGAGCCCATTTTTATCCATTGAAAATAGGATGTTGCGTACAGTCCTTGGGATTCTATCTCTGTGCCTCTTATCTGAGGTGAGCTGCAGAGCTCATTTCTGGAGAGTCTCATTTCTCCTGCCCAGAGTTGAATAGCTAGAGGTGTGGCGTGAGACGAAAGGCACGGGAGCGATGCATGGAGGGAACGCAGAAGCTGGTGAGTATGGAAACTGCAGGAAAAGAACCACTGGCTCTGCCCAGTGGGAGCCACGTCCTCCCAGTGGGCGGCTTTATCCATGGCACATGCTTTCAGGAGGCTTCGTCCACAGGTCTTGGAGCAGGGGGTCATAACGCCATTGCTTTGCCCGAGACCTGCCATATACTCATGGGCCGCATTTACTGTGGTCCTGTGCGTTGGACGTGAGAACTCCATAGTAGCTCCGGAGGCCTTCGCTGCAGGAAGTGATCGTCACCTTATGGCAGAAAGCATGGTGGCCAAATACATAATATCTTTCAGACTGTACCTGCTGCTGCTTTACTTAAGACACTTATGTCCAAGTTGGCACCAGGAGTTACAGGGTAAAAAAAAATCACAAATCTGTTGGAGATATACTTGGCATAGAACCTTGGAAAAATCAGTTGCATTCCAAGTTGTTTTTTTCTTTTGAGTTCAAGTCTGGGCAGAAAAAGGTTCCCTTAGGCCCAGCATCCTACACTTTTTAGCCTAAGTATTTGATATTAATGTGCGTGGTTGGGTGTCTTCCCTGTGCATGTGTTCCTGTGCTGCTTTCCAGCAGGGTGATGGCCTTGTTGCTGAGTTACTGGCACCCTTGGCAGCCCACCCACACCTGCCCTCCCTGGAGTTCTATATACCTGTTAGACTCAGACCAGGACAATGGCTCCTGGTTGCTCAGTGCTGTTGGGGCTTCATGCTCCTTTAGGCAGTGTTAGCGCCTCTGAATCTCTAACCCTGCTCACCTGCATGAAATAATCTCAGCTTACTGATGATGCTGGTCACTGCCCATCTGGACACATCTAGCTTGAAGGGGGGACCACAGTCAGGGAAGAATTAATTTTCCAGTTCGACACAGAAGGGCTGTGTTCACTGACTCCTTGTCACTGCAACGATTCCTTCTATTCATGTCTGATTTTTTTTTTTAAAAGATTTATTTATTTTTATTGGAAAGAGAGATTTACAGAGAGGAGAGACAGAGAGAAAGATGTTCCGTCTGCTGGCTCACTCCCCAAGTGGCCACAATGGTTGGAGCTGAGGCTGATCTGAAGCCAGGAGCTTCTTCCAGGTCTCCTCTGTGGGTGCAGGGTCCCAATGCTCTGGACCGTCCTCTACTGCTTGCCCATGTCACAAGCAGGGAGCTGGATGGGAAGTGGAGCAGTCGGGATATGAACTGGTGACTTTGTAGGATCCTGGTGCATTCAAGGCAAGGATTTAGCCAGTGAGGCATTGTGCCAGGCCCTCATGCCTGATTTTTATTTTTCTTAAAGCACCACTGTAGCAAAAAAGTATGGCCTGGAATGTTTTACATAATGAAACACTCATCCTGGCGGTTTCTCTTGGAGAATGGCCGTTGGGCAGTACCAAGCACCGTTGCACAGTGAAGACGGTGGCTCTTCTTGGTCAGTGCAACTTAGGGCTTCTTTCCCATTTATGCTGGGTAGGGGTCCCAGGCCCCTGCACTGCTCTTCTACCCACCCAAAACAGACGCCCCACCATGTGCCACCAGCATGTGAGAGGGTTAATGGTGCCCTGGCCATTCCTTTGTCAGTACTACTTTAAGTGATTGCAGTTGACGTGGCTGGCTTGGCTTACTATTTTTAGACAAATCTTAAGTCCAGCCTTCAGATGGGATCTAGGTAACAGAGGGAGCTGTGTATTAAAGCCTTAGGGCAAGACAAGTGTTTCAACCCAGCTATTTTGGTTTTTCCGTCTGTGGCATCCAAAAATCAGGGCCTTTGCTCAGTTGTCAGATGCACTTGGGTGTAATTTGCTGTATCTCTAAGCAGCAGCAGCAGCCTTTCCGGGTCCTTCTTTGCAGAAGCAGGTACCAAGATGGGCCGCAGGACAGGGCTTGCTCACTGGCAGTGTGCATGGTCGCACTGGGGTGAGTCTAGTGAGTGATACCTTAATGTGAACACATAGGAGAGTTTAATTAGGAAAGTGACTGACATTTGGCTGGGAGTCCTGTCCTTTCCCCAGGCTTTCTCCTAAGGTAGACCATGAGATGAGGCTTCTGGGATCTAGCTTAATATAGACAGGCATGAAAACTCCCGGCATTCTGGCACCCTAGCCCGGTCATAGCCATGCCCTGTTTGGATCCGTGTCTACCTGTACATTGGTGCAGTTCAGAGGCAGTGTTCTTGGTATCCTTCAAGCGGGTTCTTTTCTGCCCAGTGCTCATGCTATATGCTTTGCTTGATGGGAGATTTTGCTGCAGCTTGTAGGGGGCAGTGGGACTCTCAGCTAGCAAACACCCCAGCGCTGGGCAAGGCGGGCCGGGGTTGGCCTGATTGATGTCCGTTTCTGTGACCAGACGTGTGACCGCATCAAGCAATCGGCCAGCGGGACCAAGCGCCGCGTGTTCATCATTGAGACCATGGGGGGCTACTGCGGATACCTGGCCAACATGGGAGGACTGGCTGCTGGAGCAGATGCTGCCTACATTTTTGAAGAGCCGTTTGACATCAGGGATTTACAGGTGTGTAGATAATGTCTGTTTCCTGCACGCTATTTGCTCTGTCTGGTTGGTGGGCTTTTTTTTAGGACAGATGTGGTGTTTGTGAAATGTGCCAATTTCTCTCCACTTGCAGTTATCCATCTTTTTGGATCCAGGTCCATTTACTCTGTCATGAGTAGCTATTTCAGTGAATGGCACTAAACAGACAAGGTGGGGGATGCCTTGTTTATTCCTGCGCGTTGAAAACACAAGCTTCTATTCTATACACCTGTCTTAATGATTCTGTCTACTAAGCAATTTATACTTTTCTTTCACAAAAATAAGCTATAAAATAATTGCTTTCTTTGTCTTCTTTGTTATTTAATTTATTCCACCACTTATACTATACCTGGCATAGAGTAGCTGCCTAATAAGCTTATTGTCTGAAAAAAGAAAATAATAATTCTTTTCTAGTCCAATGTGGAGCACCTGACAGAGAAAATGAAGACCACCATTCAGAGGGGGCTTGTGCTGAGGTAACACAAAAATATTTATAAATTTGTAATACAAGGTATGGTTTTGCAGACAGTTTATTTTTAAAGAAAACACACTGATGTATTTACTTGAAAAGCAGAATGGACAGAGAGGCAGAGGCAGGGCAGGGGGAGGGGAGGCGGGGAGAGACCTTTCATTTGCTAGCTCATTGGCCAGTAAGCAGTAGCTGCCAGGCCTGGCCAGCCACCTTCTCTTGTGTCCCAGGTACCTTGGAAGGATGCTGGATAAGATGTAGCAGAGCTAGGCCAGCAGGTGGCACTATAGTATGGGATGTGGGCAATGCAAGGGGCAGGTGAACCAGCTGCCGCAAAAGGCACCCCAGCAAAATATCTCTGCTCTTGTATTTTAGACCTAAGTTGTTTGACAACACCTATTTTGTAAACCTAATAAGAAGTTGCCACTCTGAATACCGAAGAAAACACAGAAGCAACTGTGCATTGCTAAAAACTGGCTTTAACATAATTAAAGGGTTTTGAAACATTTTTCCTTAGTAGTCTTATTTCTTTAAAGTTACCTCTTAATCATTACTGCTTTTTAAAAAGATTTATTTATCTTGAAAGGCAGAAATAGAGGGGGTTGGGCAGCATTTGCTGGGAGAAAAAAGGAACATCTTCCATCTGCTGGTTTATTCTCTTAAGTTGTCAAAGCAGGTGAAGCTGCTCCAGGCCAAACTCCCTCCAGGCCTCCCATATGGGTGTAGGAGCTCAAACACCAAAGTGGAAGGAATATCCTTGCTCACGGGATGCTGACTCCTATTAAATTTAGACATTAGAAAATGAGTTCAGTCATTGAGGGAATGGAGGAGTTGAAGCAGCCAGTCTGACTGGTGGTCATGGACCAGGTGACAGGCCCAGAGGGCAGAGCAAAGCCTTGCATCCTATTGGTTGGTAACTCGGTTATTTTTCCATTTATTACAGAAATGAGAGTTGCAGTGAAAATTACACCACAGACTTCATTTATCAGCTCTATTCGGAAGAGGGCAAAGGGGTGTTTGACTGCAGGAAGAATGTGCTGGGCCACATGCAGCAGGTGGGGCTGGACTCCTCCATAACCCACGTGGCCCTCTGATCTCACCAAGCACAAGACCCAGCTGACACTCCTGTGACTTCACCCATTTTGAGGAAGAATTTGTTTTTCTAATTACATACAAGATGTTTAAAAACATCTGAAAACAAGTCACAAACATTGGCAGATGTTATGCTCTGAAAATTAGCAACTTCGACATTTCACTGAAAATTTGTACTCAAACTCAATATTCATTAAATATTTAATGAATTTTATAGGATTTAAAAAGATCACACATGATAAACTATGCAAAACCAGAATGAGTTGGACTGAATTGTAGGAAGCATGCCCAGATCAGGATGTCTTCCTGTGTCCCAGGTTACTCAGTAGGGCTATGCCTGGAAACGGGCAGTCCTAGTGCTCCTGAGTAGCATGCACACACTCTTTCCTTCTTTACGTCCTGTTCTTGGGATGTTTAAAATAAGGGCCCACTAATTCATTTTAAAAGGCCCACGAGTCCCCTCGAATCATACAGAGAGCTGGTGTGTGTGTGTGAATGTGAGTCCTAAAAATTGATGACTCTTACTAATAAAACGCCTCAGCATGAGAAATCCTAAAAGAGATTCCAAAACGAGGGACAGTACGTGGCGCGGACAGCTGATTAATAATTCCTGTTTAATTAGAAGCGCACACACACACAGTGATGCTTTCCTAACACTTGCCTGCCTGCTACATGGAGTCATAGTCTATTTGTTTTGTTCTCTTCTAGCTAAATACCAGAAGACAGAAACAGGCAAAACAAAACTGTTTGCTTCTCTTAAAAACGGATCAGTTTTTGTCACATAAATTTTACATTGTTTAACTTTTACCATCAACAGGGTGGAGCACCTTCTCCCTTTGACAGAAACTTTGGAACCAAAATTTCTGCCAGAGCTATGCAGTGGATTACCATGAAGCTGAAGGAGGCCCCTGGCAAAGGTGTGAGAGGTCAGAGGGGAAGGATGGTTGAAATGCTAAGAAGCAAGACACCTGCTGTGATTAAAACAAAGCACTGTGGGGAGGATAGTATGTGTCCTTAAGAACATAAGTCAGTAACTACAGTATTATCTGCAACTTTAGGCAATTTTCCCATTTTAGTGTGCAGTGAAACTTTTCCACCAATGCAGAGCATGCTTCCTTGCCAGGACTCTCTCATTTTCTGTGCTGGCCAACAGCTCCTCTTGGGATATGGGAATTAGGGAAGGCCTGGGCACACTGTGGTGGCCAAGGTGTGACAGTTCTGAGAGCAGAGGTGGGTTGGGAACCTGGGTATGATGCTGGGCATGCTGAGCAGAGGTCCCTGCCACCCATCAGAATTCCGCAGCCCGCTTGTCAAACCAGGGTGCTCTGGTTCCTCCCTGGCTGGTTCTGAATTTCTGTCTCCCATGATTTTAGTCCTTAAAGCTGGCAAACCTTTCTTCTCCCCTCACCGTTCCTCCTTTAATAGGCCATTTTACCATTTGCATAGGTCCACCCAATGTGAGTGATTAGCTTGCTTTTTTTTTTTTTTATTTAACTTCTCCAGGTAAAAAATTTGTTTCTGACGATTCCATTTGTGTGCTGGGAATAAGCAAAAGAAACGTTGTTTTTCAACCTGTGACAGAGCTGAAGAAGGAAACCGATTTTGAGTAAGTCAGTGAAACGCTGTTTACCTAAATTCTAAAGCCATGAAGGCGTGGGTGCTGGTTGTCATTGTTAGGACAGAGAAACGCTTTACTGCACTTACTGTATAACTCACTTCACAGTGTTAAGGGATAGTCTTTTTTGAAGCCAAGTTAACACCATCCTTCACTTTTAGAAATCGGGCAGAACTTTTAATAGTAGTGGTTTTATTTGACATAGGAAATCACTGAGTTTATTTTACTAACACTACAGACCTTATCTTTTCTACTAGCTGGCCTTTCCACTGCTGGTCAGGGCATTACAGAGCATTGCGAAATTGTCTTCACATAGCAACTTAGTACTTCCTTGTTGTCTTCTTTTATAGGCACAGAATTCCCAAAGAACAGTGGTGGCTGAAACTCCGGCCTGTCATGAAAATCTTGGCCAAGTACAGGACAAGTTATGACGTGTCTGACTCTGGTCAGCTAGAGCCTGTGCAACAACATAATGGTCACGAAGAGCATGCGGCCATCTGAACTCCACCTGCCAGCCGCACTGGACCAACACAGGTGCCTAGGCAGACCTGAAACTTACCGAGGACCGTCCTTTTTTGTAACCTTTAAGTTATTTATCTGCGCTTCGTGCAAGTATTGTTAATCAAGTGTTGTTGACAGTAATACCAGATCAGAGAGAGCACCAGTCACAATCGGATCCTGCAAAACCAAGTGCCGTGCTCTGTGCTCATTCCAGTGAGTTGGCTATGGACTGTATGCTGTACTTTCGTGCTTTCAAATGTGTGTTTCTAGTGGAATTAAATATTTGCCCCAAACTCCCAACAATGCTCAATTTACTGTTTTTCTGTTGTTGCTGTCATTTTTTTTAAGTTGGAGCTGAAAACCCCAAGATTTGTGGGTAGCTACTTCCATAATAAAGGGAAACACAATTTCTCTGAAATAGCAACTATTAACCAAGGAGAGTACTGGAGCAGGGAGTGGGGCCTCATTGTTGAGGACCATGGAATTGGATGAGTTTACTTAACTCCTTGCTTTATCCTTTGAAAATGGGACAAAGTACGTAAAAGTCAAAGATTTTAAAGACAGGCATGTGCCTTAAGAATATAAGAATCTTATACATTAAAACCAGTAAGGGGTTTTCAAAAAGAGTCTGAAACTCAGATATTTCTGCAGATGCAGACAGTTCGAAGGAGAGCCTCGCAGAGGACTTGGCTGACAGTTCTGCTGACAAGGTCTGAGGAAAGCGCTCTGCCCCTTCAGTGTGTGCTCTCCCAGATCTTGCCTCCAAAAGCTTATGTACAGATAACAGTACACAAGTAAAGGAGAGAGGATAGTTTAGAGCGAAGACGGATTACAGAAAAGCTCAAATTATGCCTATCAGCTACAACATAGTTCTCCAGACAAACTCCCATTGGACTGCCTGTTGAACTCACATGTATGGGGGCAGGCTTTTCCACAGGACCACAATATTAAGTAAGGTAGAAACTGGAATATCATTGTTCACTTTTTAATTTTTGTCTTCATTTATTTTCATTAGTTTGAAAGGTAGAATGCCAGATTGCCCATCCACTGGCTCATTCCCCAAATTCTCACACCAGTTGGGGCTGGGCCAGGCCAAAGCCAGGTACCTGGAAATCCAACCAGGTAACCCACTTGGATGATTGGAGCCAGTACCTGCTGACTCCCATCGTGGACATCAGTAGGAAGCTGGATAGGAAACGGAGCTGAGATTTGTAGCCTGACACTCTGATACAGATATGAGTGTCCAGCACGGTGCTATAAACAGTCCCTTGTTTATCTTTCAATAAAGACCCTAAAATGTACTAGTTAAGCAAAATGCCACTTTAAATAAAAACAAAAGGGGTGGACATTGCTGCACTTGGGACATTTGCATCTCGTGGAATACAGGACAGAGCTCCAGCTTCCTGCTCGTGTGTCCCTTTGGGAGGCAGCAGTGGATAACTCAGGAACACGGCTCCCAACCACCCATGCAGGAGATGCACATGGGGCTCCTGGCTTTTGCCTGGCCAGGAGCCAATAGTTTTGGCTATTGCCCATACTAGAGGCACACAGACTACCTCTCTTTCATGAAGTCTTTTGGATATATAAAAATAAATCCTTTAAAAAAAAATCCCTATGCAAAAAGAGCACACAAGTAATGTCAGTTTCCTTTTATTCTTAAATTTCTGAAACAATTCTAGGATGAGTAACAAAATAAGAATATGTATTGTCGAGAACATTTTAAAAATTTAATTTGCATATTTGGCATTTGCTACATGATTATTTCGACCAGTTTCTTTATGGTCATATCCTACTTTAAGATAGCAGAATTTTTTGTTGGCTCTGTCAGTCAATACCTTTGACACAGTTTTAAGAAGCATATAAATAAGGGTGTTTGGAAACTGCAGTAACATTTCTGACCTTTGAAATTCAAATGATTTCCTGAGTACAGCTTTATGTCCAGTTATCTTATTATCCATGATGGATCCTTAGCAATCTTTGGATTCTCTGGTCCCAGGATGGCCATTCCGTGTGTGCTTCTCCCAATCCCAAGGTACCTGGAAAGAAGGTACGTGGTGGGTCACGTTAGCTCTGTGTGTTTTTGAACTCCATACTCCCTCAGGGAGCACATTAAGCCAACCATGTTTACTCACTTGTTGCTCACGGCAGTCAGTTTGTCGTGGCTGACAGCAAACAGCTGTTCCCTGTGTGCCTGCTTCACCTCATCCGAGAGCCCATACAAGAAGTGGTCCATTCCTAAAAGGAAACCACAAGAGCAGATGGAGATTTGGGCCGGAGGGCACGTCCCTCAGTGGGGTCCTGGTGGGATTCTGAAATCACCTCATAGCCATTTTATACACCAAAGGGTAGAGCATGCACAGTTCTACAGGGCTTTGCTGACTAATGCAGACTCTCACTTTAGTAGTGTGAAGGTCAGGAAGAGTCCTGAAAAACTGAAGCTATTATCAACAAAAATGACTGCATAGTGCTCTGTTCATTCCCTTGGCTTTGTCAAAAGTTCTTGTTCAATCCTAGTGAAAAAGTTATATTACCGTAAGTCACTTGACCTCATCGAGGACTTAGAGTATTCAAAATCTGAAGTGCTAACTCAACTCTTTTGAAAAGGCAAATATCAAAATGGGCACTGGGTGTCAAAAAGTATGTTTTTGACTTTCAACATTTAGGTTGTCAAAAATGACAACACAAAAGGATAGGGAGGAGGAACATCTAAAAACAATATTGATTGTGGTTCCACAGGCAAAGCAGCATTTGGTAGTGCCATTTATGAAGGGTCAAAATACCTTTCTCTGAAGGAGCAACAGGGGCGTCGACGGTGGAGAAAACTGAGAGTTTGGCTTCATCAATGTCCTGCTGTGTGAATTTCCCAGCTTTAGCCCAGTCGACAGCCTTCCCAAAGGACTGGAGCGTTTCTACTGAATTGGGATCCCTAGGAAATGGCAAAAGTTCAGTATTCAAGCATCTTAGTGATGGAACGTGTCAGTCACGATGGCTTCACAGTTCTTAAACATTCTATTTGCTAATTGCTCAACTACAACATTCCACAGTCTAATTTATGACTAAATTCATTACTTTTTGTAGCAACTGGAATCTGACCACATACACCCGTGGAAACGCTCCCCACAAAGGCATGGACTATCTCCCCTTCACTTCACTTGCATTCCACTCCCCATTGTTCTGCCTGGGAAGGCAGTGGAGGATGGCCAGATCCTTCAGACCCCGCATCCACATGGGAAACCTGGATGAAGCTCCTGGCTTCGGCTTGGCCCTATACAAGCAAGTGCAGCCATTTGGGGAGTGAAGCGGCAGAAGGAAGACCTCTATATTTCTGCTTTCAAATAAAATATTTAAGAGAGTGCATGTCTTTGGGCAGTACAGCCACAGAAAGTTAAACAATACTCTAAACTCTCAATGAAATAGTTTCATGTCTACAAAAACCCAATGAATCATAGCTAGATTGGGTCTCTACAAGTGAAATAAAATCAGAAAGCTCTTAGATTGTACTCCACTAAACCAAGATGGCTGTCACAATATGAATGACATAACGCAAAATACTTTCTGGCATAGTGCTGTCTCTAATCTTTGCAACAGAGAAAATATTGCAGTTAGGTGGGAAAAAAAGGGAAAGCTTTTTCTGCTGCTTTTAAAAAATCTTCCTATTAAGATAATGATACTGATAATGAACAGAACTAATGTAAGTGAAATGATGCATTATCTATCCACTCACACAAACTGAGCAAGCACTCACCTGTAAGAATAAAGAGTGAAGATTCCATTATGGCTGAGTCTGGCACCTCCACCATAAGCACCCCCCTTTTCTCGAATTTCTGTGTGCAGGAATTTCGCAGTCATCAAACGTGCAAGGATCTTAAGGCTGAAATTAATGATTATAAAATGCAAGTTAGAAGCAATATAGCTGGGAAGGATACTGTAGCACAGTGAACACTGTTTACAATGTCCACCTCCCATATCAGTACTGATTCCAATCTGCCTTCCTGCTAAGGCACCTGGGATGGAAGCAAAGGATGATCAAATGCTTGGGCCCCTCTAGCCTGTGTAAGAGCCCCAGATGGTGTTCCTGGCCCAGTGGATGGGAGATCTATCCCACCTTTCAAATTTTGGAGGGGGGAGCGGGAAGGCAAAGTAATGTGGCTGGTAGGAAAAGTATTGCACAAATATCTGTATGATTATATATGATATAAATGTGTGTGTGTATATATATATATATATTTATATCCATAAAATTCCATAGAAGTTATGGTGTAATTATATAATATAGAAAATCTGGCAAAGTCAAATATAGAAAATCTGGTTAGGTGAGTTTGCAAGCAGTGATAGGAACAGAATTTTCCTCAGCACTTCTAGAGCGCCTTCCTAAGGCAGAGGTGGGGGACCACGCCCACTTGCCAGCAGGGGCTGCGCTTTTTTTTTAAAAGATTTATTTTTGTTATTTTTTTCTATTGGAAAGGCAGATATACAGAGAGGAGAGACAGAGAGGAAGATCTTCCATCCGATGATTCACTCCCCAAGTGAGCGCAACGGCCGATGCTATGCCGATCTGAAGCCAGGAGACTTTTCTGGGTCTCCCACGCGGGTGCAGGGTCCCAAAGCTTTGGGCTGTCCTCGACTGCTTTCCCAGGCCACAGGCAGGGAGCTGGAAGGGAAGCGGGGCTGCCAGGATTAGAACTGGTGCCCATATGGGATCCTGGGAGTGCAAGGCGAAGACCTTAACCACTTGCGCCACTGCGCTGGGCCCAAGGGGCTGCGCTTTTTACCCATGTTTTTCTTTCCCCCTTGGGACTTCACTATCAGTTTTATATGACAGAAAAATGACAGGTTTCCTGTGGGAAAATTGTAAAATATGAGAAGACTTCAAATAATTCATGGAAAATATGTAGGATGGAAAAAAAAAACCACCAGCATCACGGTTTTTAAGTTTTTTTGCACTAAAATAAACTTATCTTTAATCCCATTTCCCATAACCTTTTCAAAACATAACAACAACAAAAACATAGTTGTACTACCCAGAGGTAAACACTTTTTAGCATTTTAGTGATTTAAATCCTCATCTTATTCAATAGGTGGTTCATGTGTAGCTTACAGAATTATGCTTATTTTCTACAAATAGAATAAATAGCTGAGCTACATTACGATGGAATTTTCTACATAGAGACACTCTCTTTCTTAGCCCTCCCAGCAGCTTCCCAGTTCTGTCTACTTAGTTCCAATGTATGCATAACCAGTTTCTCCTCACTGCCTCCCAGGGCACTCTAACCTTCCTCTCACTGTGGCCAGAGGATAATGTGTGGGCATCCTGGTTCCTCTATTCTGGCCTGGCCAACCAAACTGAAGGCTCCCACCTGTCTCTTCGCTGTGCCACACTCACATTTCCAGGGGCCCATGCATTTCCCCTTGGTTTACTGCCCACGTGGGGAGAGGCACGTCATGACTTGGGGACCCTGCAGATTTGCAAATGTCGTTGTCCTAGATGAAGGATTGGTAATTAAGGGCTCCTCAAAGGCCTGCATCTGAAGGACTCATCCACAGGGGCAGCCCCAAGTCAGAGGAAGGACTGCAGGCTGGTGTTCAGCCCGCAGACTTCCACTTGGGCTCCTCCTCAGGATCTTGTCTGACTTGACTCTGAGCTGTGGCTGCAGCTGTTCCACCTAGTGTCTGAGCTTCAGCCCTGGGTGTGGGACAGGGAAGGCTGTCAGCTCCTCACAGGAGCTTTGGAACAAAGTTCCTGTTTCCAGGCCACCTGGGCAAGGTGCTTGTTTCCACTGCTGCCATCTCCAGGGCTCTGCAAAATCACTTGGCCTAAATCTGGTTGCTTTGTCCCTCTGAGCAGGTTCTGTAGTTCACACTCCAAGCCCATTCACAGTTCTCAAAATGTTCCTGCTGTTCCCACACGTCACCTGCTATCTCTGAGCTATGTATGATTTTTCTCTGTGTAGTTTTATGGGGTTTTTTTGTGCCTTGCTGGTATTCTGTGGGCTTCTGGGGGCAGGGGAAGGTTCAATGGAAGCATGAATTCAGCCCATTATTTTAAATCAGAAAACATCCATCCTTAATTTATAGAATTTTTGCCTATAGAGGAGATGGGTGAATTGGGCATTTTCAAAGGTACTGTTATTTAGGCCCACTGATATTTAAAAATCTGTACCCTGTAATAGGACTACTTGAGGGGCACACAGTTATTTGTAGAAATAACTATGAAGTTTGGTACTTAGTCCATAAAGGCTCTTACTTTATTACTATTCACGAATATATACTGTAAGGTTTCTACATGCGACTCCTTATTGACTAGAAGAGTCAGACCCTGTAAAGGAACAGAACTCAGCATCCAAAGTTGTTGCAAAAATTTATGGGGTGTGGACAACTGCTATCCTATTTTCATTAATGCACACACTGAAAAAGCTCATCTACCACCCCAGCCCCTACCTGGCATGATCTGGATCTGTATAGGGCACGGTTCTAACACATTCACCAACGTAATTCACTGGAAAAGGCAGCAGGAAATGTGTCTTCATCTGGCAAGGTTTGAAAGTGGGGTCCTGCAGGGACAAGAGGTACATGGGTCAGACAGGCTGAACATGCACAGATACTAACTGAATACTTTTCCTGTGACTATTGCTAGCTGGGCACTCATGTTTGAGACCAAGGCACTACAATTAAGTCCTTCCAAACAATTGTTCATATTAACATGAAGAGTCACATCTTGACATGATGTTTTCAGAATCAGTGATTATCCACTTGAAATATTTCATCCTTTATCTTTTGTAAACAAACAGTAGTGAATTCCCCAGGAACATCAGTTGCCGTACTCTGTGATGAACTAAGCCAAATGCCATCACTGGCACAGCCAAAGAAGCAGAAAGGGCTCAACCACACTGCTAAATCAGAGGTGAACTGACAGGACTCAAGCAGTGTAGACTCCATTACAATAAAAACAGACTATAGGGCGAGGAGACCACTTGAGGAAACAGAAGGCAGACTTATGCAGGAACAGGGCGTTCACTTGGCACTGTTTCAAAGAGCCAAGACTGCAGGGGGCTATGACAAAAAGTTGTAACTTGAAATTCCAAGGACAAGACCCAACCCTTGTAATGGCTTGGACAGAGAAAGATTCTGAATTAGAGCAACATGGCTGTGAAGGGATCAACAAGGTTTGCACAGAAGCCAGGTGGATGTGCCAACTTACTGTGATCAGCTTTCTTATGATCTGGGAGCCATTAACATGGGTATTCCCACTCAAGCCACTATGTGCTGGTTTCTGAAAATAAAAATGTTTAGAGGAATGAAAAGAATCCATAGCTCAGAGACTAAAACCAATTGTGTAAACTGATCTGGTTGAAGAGACTTAATCGATTTAACTGTTCTAGAGAAAAATCCATAAGGTCATTGTATCACAATGAAAATGATTTTATCATCTTGTGTCATTACAAACAACCAAAGGACCACTGTTTAGGGTGACTTTTATACTCCTGCTCCTAAACCTAAGTCAGTCTTTCCTATTAGGAGACTATCATCTCAAAGCATACGTAACAATAAGTAAGCCCAAGATATAAGGCTGAATTCTAACTGATCAACACTGGGCATGTTGCCTAACCCTGCACATCAGTTTCTTTATACAATAGGGGATATGCAAAAATGAGATTAAAATGAGTTAAATCAAGTAAAAATCAAGAGCTACACCTGGCGCCTGGCCAGGGCTCCGCCACTCCTGGGGATGACATTAGTGTATAATTACCTCAATCACATGCGGGCGCACGGGTTTTCGTTCCTTCTTACTTCGACCTATGTTTCCAAGGAACTTTTCTACTTCTTTTTCTGCCTGAGACATCTGCTGAGGAGTAGCATTCACTGAACACCTGTTTAAAAAGTTTTGCATCTATGAAACCACGATTAGGACATTTAAATCCTGTTTCACTACTTTATATTTTCTCCAAATTACCCCAGAATAAAAAATTATGCAATTGTGGTTCTATATAACATTTATATTCAGAAATATTACAAACAATAGCCAACTTTTGAAATGACATGGTCATGTTACTGCCATGCAGTGAATTCAGGTTATCAAAACCTTTCACATACGCCCCCATGTTACAGCACAGAAACAGCCATCAAGACACAGACAGCATTTCTGACTCTGGATTTAAGTTCTTCTAGAGTACTATGATTTTCCAACAAGGCATTCATGCTTACGTTATTGGAACTTTCAAAACTACTTTCAAAAGAAAAGCAAACATTTTGAGAATGTGAGCCTGCTGCTGTAATAGAAAATTACTTTTGGCATCTTACTGATAGAAAAAATACCATAATCAGAAAAGCATTTTGAAGCAACACTCCCAAATTCTTTTGAGTCACAAATAATATTATCACATGAATTCAACTGAGCCCTACAATATATTGAGCATATATATTTTCCCTTTGGTCCTAAATTCTAAATTTATTTTAGTTAAATTCATAGCAGGAACCATTAATACTATATTCTAGGCACTATACCAAAAGCTTTGTACACACTACTTCCTCACCATAAACGTGCAAAGTAGGGTTTGCTGGAGAAGCAAACAGACCTGAGTGGCTAAACTGCCCAAGATCACTCAAGGTAGCAGTGCACACAGAGCCTGGTGGCCAACGCCTGCCTTCCCTTCCTGCCCTCACCACAGACTGTCCTGCAGAACCACCGGTGATTCTCAAAAACTGAGAAGTGGTACCAGAATTCTGACAACAATTTTTAATGCTTATTTTTTGAAAAAAAACGTATTTGGCAAGCAGACATGCAAAAACAAGACAGCTCTCATCTGCTAATTCACTCTCTAAATTCCCACAATAGTCAAGGCCGCGGCAGGCCAAAGCCAAGATCCAGAACCCAAACCAGGTCTCTGACAGGGGTGCAAGGGACTACTTGAACCATCACGACTGCCTCCAGGACCTATATCAGCAGGTGGCTGACGGGGAGCAGAGCCAGGACGCGAATGCACAAGCTCCAACACGGGATATAGGTATCTTTACCGCTAGTCAAAAGGCTGTCCCCTAGAATTTTTAATGTAGAATGGCCAGTAACTTAGGCAACATTTTGTTAAGTGTTAGCAAATTTCAACTGAGAATCATTACTAATACAATGAAAATAAAGCATTATTTACATTTAACTGATGCACACAAATTTGTTAGCACAAAGCCAACCATATGTCTATGCTAGATGTTTTCCCCAGATACTCATAAAATCTTTATTTATAAGAAACTGTACTCCTGCTCTGCTCCTGAAGCAAGCTAATCTTAACTAGGCCTCACTGATCTTATATTTGCTTTTAGACTTAATAAAACTTACACTATGAGCCCTAAATATACTTTGCAATACTAGGATTAGGTTAGCTTATGATTTCATAAGTTTTATTAACCTTAAAATGTATTCTTTCCCTAAAAGAAAAATGATTCCTTAATCTATTAAAATATTTAAAGTCTATATTAAATTCTTTAACTTATACTTGTAACATTACTTTTGTGTTAAAGACAGATTTATATGTAATTTAACTTTGATGAAAAAAAGTTAATAACATTTAATGAAATGGAATAAATCATAACATCTTCGCTTACAATGAATTTATGAACCCACCTCATATTATCACAATTTAACAGATGTTTTTTGATACGTGGGAGCTTTCTCAGGACTGGCTTCATGTCTGTCATTTCTGCGATTCTCTTCATCAGCCTCACCTGAACCATGGGAATCAAAAACAGACAGGTAGACACCACAGACTTTGGCAGCTGGCAAACTCGCACCTTGTGCTGCACCCATGCACAACCAACCTATCCTGGGGAGTGGTGGTACTGGAAGTAAGGTGTTCAAGAAGGAAAGCGAGTTAAAGAAATAAAACAAAAAAAGTATATTGTCTAGGAAATTTAGGAACTCTGGTCTGTTAGAGAGGTGCTCTTCTGAGGCATACAGAACTCATTATCAGTGAACATGAGCAAATGTGGAAACTCTCTGTAAGACAGAGTAACAAACACCCCATCGCCACTCCGCACCTGATCCATCCCTCCGAAGGTCTCCTGTAAGTCCCCCGCAGGCGTGAGCATCTTGCTGGCTCGGACGGATGCATAGAGATGCCCCGAGTCTGGAATGCCGTTGGAGAGTTCCTGAGCAGTCATTTTAACTAAGACTTTGAAGTGTTCTTCTTCTTCAAAACACGGGCTACGGGGCGGGGTGGGGAGAGAATCGTCATGAACTCCTAGAAACCCATCCAGGCCCTACTCCCTTCAATTTCCTGGAAGACCAATGGTTTTAAGAACATTTCAAGTGCAAATATAACTCCATAGGAATTATAAATTCATTGGAAATACAAGTAAACTCAGCCTAGGCTAGGAAATCAGCCAAGTATTACTAACATCTCCTACTTTGGAACATTACAGGCTTGGATTCTCTGAGGTAGTCCAAGAATGCCCATATTTTGCAAATAAACTAACTTGTTAAATATTTCACTCCACAGATGCATCATGTCTGGTAGGTTTCGCTCCAAGCAGAGAGATGAAAACAGCACACCCTAAGTCAGGAAAGAAAAAAACAAAAAAGCAAAAGAAGATATTATTTATGGTACAATGGAAAACAAACAAAAAGTCATTGCTCAAACTTTGACCATAGCTGTGCACTAAAAATAAAAGGCTACCTGCTCATAGGTGTCCAGGTGGGAGTCGTCAGGGAGCACGTGAGGGGTGACAGTCATGCCTCCCGTTTTCAGTTCGATTTGCTGAGCTTGTTCTCTGTAGTCAAGAATGCCACAGCCCAGCCTGACATAGCAAAGAAGTAGTTGATGAATCACCAAGGCCATCTTCACTTTCTCATCTTAAACATTATGTCTCCAGAATCACAACTTGCTTAGATAATTCAATCAATGCAACTTTATAAATCCTCTGATACTTCAAGATGATAAAAGTAAATGCGTGTAGACTGTACTCCTCCACATACTGTTCACCTAGCCTGTCCTAATGCAGAAACCAGTTTCTCTCATTTGTTGAATTCACAGAGTAGCACCCAGGATACTAGGCCTTTAGGCAGCGAGTGTCTAGAGCTAAGAATAAAATTAGAAAAATGCTTTTCCAGTCATAGACTTGTGAATGTTATGACTATTCCTCACTCTAACAGTTCTCCTCCAAGAACTTCTGATCCATACTTTGTATTTGTGAATATCTGCTAGTTTTCCAGTGGAAAGTCTGAGAAGTCAGCCGTTTTGAGTTTATGTATAGCAGCTATCCTCTCAGCACTGATGTTTTTGGAATAAACATTCCTACTAGCACCACTTTTTTTTTTTTAAAGGGTTACTCATTTTTATTGGAAGGGCAGATTTACAGAGAGAAAAGGACAGACAGAAACACCTTCTATCAGCTAGTTCACTCCCCAACTGGCCATGGGTGAGCCAATCCAAAGCTAGGAGCTTCCTCCACATCTCCCACACAGGTGTAGAGTCTCAAGGCTTTGGGCCATCCTCTAATTGTTTTCCGAGGCAATAAGCAGGGAGCTGGATGGGAAGTGTGGCACAGCAGGAACACGAACCAGCACCCATACGGGATGTCAGTGCTTGCAGGTAGAGGATTAGCCAATTGAACCATTACACCAGCCCCTCTTACTGGCACTTGTAAACCAACAATTTATGCCAAGGGACAAGTGTGAGGTATTTTCTGTTTTTCATGACTCATTCATTTATCCGCAAAGCAGAACAGCAGAAACAGTTTCCAACTGCTGTCTCACTGCTCCACTGGCTGCAACTACCCAAGATGGGCCAGGACGAAACCAGGATCCCAGAATTGCATCTTGGTCTCCCACATGGGTGGCAAGGGCCCAAGTACTTGGGCAATTTCTGGCACATTGGCAGGAAGCTGGATTGAAAGCAGAACAGTTGGAACTAGAACCAGAACTCCCATACGGGATATGGCATTCTAAGCTTTGATTTTTACCCACTGCATTACAACTTCAGCACCCTGTGAGATGTTTTCTAAAACTGTTATTAAGGGACAAGTAGTAGGATCTATATTAGAAGAAAATGGCAGGGAATTTTCAGCAGGACAGAGACATTTTCCATCTGGTTCCTGCCCAGCTGGGGTACAGAAGTCCTGCAGGCATACAGCTTTCTGCAACAGCATCTTCTCCACAAAATGAGCAGTACAACAGCAGATCCGATGGGGCAGCAGGAACCCACAATTTGCCGCAATGATTTGTTTTCCCTCTATTTTCCTCCAACAGGAATTGACGTGGTAGGCCTGCCACTCTTAGCTGCTGACTCCGAACAGAGGCCAGGGGCATAAGATTACCTGTGCTGTCATGCACCTGCTTCTAAATCCATTTTCAGGCCTCAACTGATACATCAGAGCCACTGCGAAGTTAGCTCAGTGGGGAAGCAAACTAAGGAAGGACACATAGCATGCTCACAAGACAAACTCGGGCCTGAACTCTACAGCTGAGCTGCTCTCATCCCCTGATCATACAATGATTCCTCTTCAAAACCTTGAAATACCAATGAGATAAAGACATCTCTAAGTGTTTCCTTGTACTCAAGGCTCACAATCATTTCAACCATAATATGCATTGTACAAAAGGCAACTGCATAAGAAAACAAATCCTAAACAAATACAGCATATTCTATTTCCCTCATATATGTTTAATTTAATATTTCTGTTATATATAAATATGTAATTATATATATTTATATTATAAACAACAGATTATATATTATTTATTATTAGATTGCTACATATATGATATACATCATACTATAATATATGTTTACTATAACATATAATGTATAACACAAGATATATAAATTTGTATATATGTATATGCAGGCATACATTATTTACACATATCTAATTATCAAAACATGTGTTGAGTTATAAAAATATGTCTTTGTCTCTAACATGAGACCCTTACTTGGTAAGGACATTGCAGAAGAGTGGCACGTAGGGCTTCAGCTCCTCAGGGAGTGTGTTTAAATTCGAAAAGGCTCGGAAATAGACCATGCCGTTGGTGGGCTGGGCACAGTACTGCACAGGGACTTCTCCAGCTGTAAAAGCAAAAGTTGAAAAAAAAAAAAAAGTCATCCTACCAGTAAAATTTTAGTTCTTTATAATGGTTTATACTACTGCTTTTTAAAGACAAAGTTTAAAACGTGTACTAACCAAAAGCTATTATTCATTGTTACATAATTTATATAAATGTTCCCCATTTTTCTTTTATTACTAAGAAAAAAAAGAGAAAGAAAGAAACAACCTTCAACACTAACGTGATCCCTACTTTTTAAAGGATGACAGTTGAAGAACATTCATATTCTTTTGGCTTGAGACCTAACCATGCCAGCATTCTACCTGGCTGTGTGACCTACCTGTATCCACCTTACCTTCCTTACTAAAACTTTCCCTTTAATTTCAATGAATTTTCGCTGGGTCACCCTGGAAACATCTGATCTCACCATTTCACCCACCCTAAATGCCGCTTATCTTCATCAGTGAATTCAACCCATCCTCTCTAAGTCCAACAGTTACTGCCTTGTCCAGAGCACTTCCCTGCTCTTAGGATCCCGTGACCTTGAGGCATCCTCAAGTCTCTCAAGGTTAAGGACCTGGGAGTGCTCTTTTGTACATTCCTGGTTCCTGCCATGTCACTTCCCAGCCTTTTGGCTAAGATCAAGTGTACATTCCTGCCACATTGTTCCAAGGCATAAAATGGTTAAAGCATTTACTGCTGATACAATCTAAAAGTATAATGGTGTCTTCCGATCACATCCATCTCTAAGCACAGTGATAAGGCCACCCATTCCAGGGTAATGGTGATCCAAAGACATGTCTATTTTCCCATCAACCAGAAGCCAAAGTAAAATCAGCCCCTGTGAGAACCCAAAAACAGTGACAGATTACAGATGGAAGCACTAGGATGAGATGGCAGTCAGAAAGCACTCTCCACGGCCCTTTCCCCCATCTGTAACTCAGCGATATCGCCATTTCAAGAGGCACTTATCTTCCCCAATTCCCTTCAGCTACACCAAAAGCTGGGATAAGGATTTAGTTTGAGTGAAGGACTATGTAGGATGCCTATAAGGGAAGCCCACATCCTTCAAGAATTGCATTTCCTATTGCAACAGCCTAACTCAAATCTTCATCTGATTCTAGGAGCAGCTAGTTCATAGTGTCATATTACTTCAATTCACAAGGAAATTAAAACAGGCTCTTTAGTGCATAAAGAACTCTAAGATCACTAACTGTCAAGATCAACATACAAGTCAGATGAAGAGGGCCTGGTGTGGTAGCTTAGTGGCTAAAGTCCTCTCCTTGCACACCCAGGATCCCACATGGGCGCCGGTTTGTGTCCTGGCTGCTCCATTTCCTTCCAGCTCCCTGCCTGTGCCCTGGGAAAGCAGGCGAGGACGGCCCAAAGCCTTGGGACCCTACACTTATGTGGGAGACCCAGAAGAAACTCGTGGCTCCTGGCTTCAGACTGTCTCAGCTCTTCTACGTCTGTTGTGGCCCCTTGGGGAGTCAACCAGCAGACAGAAAAGCTTTCTCTTTGCCTCTCCTTCTCTTGTAAATTTGACTTTTCAATAAAAATAAATAAATAAATCTTAAAAAAAAAAAAGATGAAGAACAAGACTACAAATCAATGATTTCATGCTTCAATGTTTTCTGACAACCAGAATGTAACTGTTTCTCGTGAGGAAACTGGCATTAAACCGAGTAACCTATATACCCATGAAAATGATGGTTTACAGTGACCTGCCAGGGCTACGTCCAACTTAGTGAAAGGCATGGTGGGCTCGATGTCCGAAACCTTCAATGCTGGCAGACAAGAGGCATCCTGAGGCTTACTTTGTTGTGTTCGTAATTCTAAGCCTAAAAAAAGAAAAAAAAGAATAATAGCATTTAGTTAAAAGCTCATATCAAATGCATCTTTTTCCTGCCTCTCACCTCACACTCACAATTACTACTGCCTTTCAAGTCTTAGGTTTAGAGGCAATAATAAATTTTCCCCACAGGCAGTGCTTATCCTAATTCTCCTTCTTAAATACTTTACAAAAAAGACTTTTGCCAAGGAGCAGTGGTAAGCTCAAGCAGTTTCTTTCTGCCGCTCAAAGCCAGGTTTAGTTTTCAAATCATTTCTTGCTGGATTTAATGATTTTTGGAATCCTCTTATTTTCTAACTTTAGTGAAATGTTTGTGTAATCACGGACATTTCATAGAATTATAGCCATGCTTGAAAATGTATTTCCTGAGCCTAAAGTTCCATTCTCTTAACAAGAGGGTGGAGCTCTCTTCTGAATTACTGCATAGAGTTCTGTAGTTTATGAGAGAAGAGAATCCAGAAAGCCCACAGCACTTTTTTGGGGGACAGAGCTGAATGGTGCTTGGGAAAAAGCGCCCATAATTTAGAATTCTATCAACCAGATATACAAATGCATTGTTTCACACATATGGCTCATAGGCGATGGCTGCGCCAAATTTCTCTTAGTCTTAACTCATAATTAGGAATACCCCTGGTGTCTGCTGAGCTGTCCTTAAAAATTAGAGGCTTCCTTAATCCTCCATCTACACTTATTTGAAGTGCCTTGAGAAGAAAGGATTACCAACAGACCCCCCACCCCCAGAGATGGGACTTTGAAGTCAATGAATATTCCATGTAATAGATTTCTATATACAGGTATTGTTGTGCCCAAATTAGAGTAAAAGCTGGACCTTTCCACTGGTTCCAGCTCTCCAGGAATATATGCACGGAGAGACCTTAAAAAAAAAAAAGGTTTTAAAGGGCCAACACTGTGGCATAGCAAGTAAAGTTGTGGCCTGTGATGCTGGTATACCATCTGCGCACTGGTTCAAATCCCAGCTGCTCTACTTCCAATTCAGCTCTGTGCAAATACTCTATGCAAGCAGCAAAAGATGGCTCTGGCCATCCATTTGGGAGACCTGAAAGAAGCTCCTGGTTCCTGGCTTTGACCTACAGTCCTAGCATTTTAGTTATCTGGAGAGTGAACCCGCAGCTGGAAGAGCTCTCTGTCTTATCTTCTCTGCAACTCTTTCAAATAAATAAATAGTTTTTTTTTTTTAAAGGTCTTAAAAAATGTTTTGCTCAACTTTTAACTGGGTTGTATTTAATCATCACTAAATTATTAAAGTTTTTAATATATCTTGGATACATTTTATTTACAATTTATTGCCCACACAATTTGTAAATATTTCACTGGAGGCCAGATGGCTCTTGACTGAAAATTAATCTCCCTTTTCTCTTCTTGCCACCTCCCTTTCTTCCATTCTTTCTAAGATTTTTTTTTTAATTCTTATTTGAAAGGCAGATTTCACAGAAAGAGAAGGATCTTCCCTCCGCTGGTTCACTGCCCAAATGGCTGCAATGGCTGGAGTTGAGCTGATCTGAAGCTGGGAGACAAGACTTTTTTCCATCTCTCCCAAGTAGGGGCAGGGGCCCAAGGACCTGGGTTATCCTCCACTGCTTTTCTGGCTCATAAGCAGGGAGTTGGATCAAAAACTGAGCAGCAGAGTGAAATAAGCCAATCTCAAAAGGACAGATATCACATATTATTTCATATATAAGGTGACTATTATGCAAAATACAAAACAGATGGATAAAGGCAAACAGTTTTATATTATATACATACATATATATAATACATATACATATTATATATGTGTGTGTGTGTGTGTTCATCTAGAGGAACTACATAATGGAGACTAGTATACTGAGAAGATACAGTGCAGTGTGCATCTCTGCTCTTGAATAAAAGATGGACTTCCCATGAAACTGCTGCTTATATCCTGACACCAGGAGGTTGCACGTTCTATCTATATCTCCAATATAGGATACACTTAAATGGTATGGAATGATGGAAGAATGATGGACTTGTGACTGTTGTTAAAGAACTACACTATTGTAGTGATATATGGAAAACAGAGACAGTAGAAGTGGAAATCCTTGAGCCTATGGAACTGTAACATGAAAAATTAAAATTAAAACTCTAAAATAATAAAATAATATGGAGCAGCAGGAATATGAAGGAGCATGAATCATCACCCATATGGGGTGCTGCCACCGCTGGCAAATCTGACTTTCTTTTCTAAGGTCTTCCTGCTGTGCTTGTTTTTAAAAATGTCTTCCTTTCTTTCTCTTCCATAAAAAATTTCACCACTGGGGCCAGTATTGTGGCACAACAAGTTAAGCCACTGCCTGTGATCCCCTCCATCCAATAACCGGCATTGGTTCAATCTCTGGCTGCTCCACTTCCGATCTGGCTCCTTGTTGATGGCCTGGGAAAAGCAGTAAGTGATGACGTAAGTGCCTGGGCCCTTGCCACCCACATGATGCTCTGGAAGGACCTCCTGGTTCCTGGTGTCAGTGTGCCTAAGCCCTGGTCATTATCATTTGAATGTGAGTGAAACAATACATGGAAATTCTCTCCTTCCCTCTCATTTTCTTTCAAATAAGTAAATAAATCTTAAAAAAAAATCACCATTATATTTTTCACCGCCTTCCTAATTCTCCTGGCTTAATAAATGAAGTGCATATACATCTATCAGTGTTACAGTCAAGGCCCTTCTCATACCAGTCTCCACTTGGCATCTGAGTCTTTCGTCCACAATCTGTCTCCTCTATCCTCACCAGCCAGTCTTCTGTGGCTTTTCCATCCCCATCTTACACAAATCCTGGCAGTATCTTACAGCTAGCTCAAGTCCTTCAAGAACTCACTGTGACTCACTTTTTCCAAAAGCAGCTTATGCTGTTCCTATTGCTCACTGGGCAATTACTCTTTATTGCAACACAACACAAATTTCATTGGCACATTGCATCACTTGATAAATGGAAAGCACTTGAAATCTGTTAAGTGAATAAATCTCATACAGCTACTGCTTTTTTGATTAACCCCATCTTTCCAGGTGAACTAGAGTGTGAATTTTCTAAGAACAAAGTCTTATCTTAAGATTGAATTCACTACACCAAGTATAGTAAAAATTATAAATTATAAATATTTGTTGGTCCAAACAATATCTGCTCCAACGATTAACTCATTAAAAGTTCACTAGGTCAGGGCGAAGGCTAGGGAATAACAAGCACACAGTGAATGATCTGACCTTTTTCATAGATTTGCTCCTTGTCTTTGAGAGACAGAGAATTGACCTTTTGCTTCAGTTTTTCTGCTTCCATTTGTGCTTGCTTCTCATAATATTTGTCATCCGGATTCATTGATAAGGTCAGCCTGTGCTGATTATTCTGCAACAACAGCAACGACAAATTCAAGATACAGCTAGCTGTTGTTAAAGCTGGACATGTTGAGCTGGCCTCTGCTATGTGTTCTTGGTCCTCAAGTTCTATTAATCCAATTTGAAAAACAGCATCAGAAATCACCTGCAGGTCTGTTTTACAAAAGCCATGTATCATTCCCATACTCACAGCTAGCATGTGAGCACGTAATTCATGCACACTGCTATTACTACTGTCAGGGTTATTAGTGCTACTACTGTGACTACAGATTAATCATAAATACAACTGCCAACATCTTCGCTTCATGTTAATTGCAAAAAGAAATTGTACTTCTTGATATATGTTTTTTTTTCATTTCAGTCAAACCTGAAGATGATAGAATTCTGAGTTAAATTCCGTCAAGTGTTTACTGGATTATTAACTTCTGAGATGCTAGAACTAAAATTTTTCACTCAATATTTCAGAAACTGTAAGGACAAAATAGGTCTTAATCTAACGTAAAAATAAATATTAAATTGTTTAGGTATTTCTTTTAACTTATTCCAATAATTACAAATATCACATATGCACAAAATGTTCAGCTGTACTATCAGAAAGTTAGAATAATTAGATTAAGAAAAACACAATGTAACGTAACTTAAAGAAACCACAGGTTGAATCATTAAATTATGTCCCATGTCCCCAAAATGGACACATATTGAAACAGGGAAGCTTCAAAACAAGCAGTCTAAACCCAACATCACAATATTTTTACAAAGTTCTAAGTATGAGTGAAAACACAGCAGAGAACATAAAACCCAAACACAGATGCCAACAAAACCAGCAAAATAACAAACAAAGATGAAAAGAATCTGAACATAAAAAAAGTCCAAAATATTCACTATACTCTGTGGCATCTGTTCTCTTATTTTATAGCTGATGGAAGCACTTCAAGTTTTAATTGTAAATTGTAGAAATCATGTCACCATTTGTTAACAGAAGCTTACTTCACACAGGCCATGATCTGCATGTTCATTTTATTATAAAATCCAGCATCAAAATTGTGAAAACAAGCCCTTCAATTTTCTCACCTTAAAATATTGTTTCACTTTTTCCTGTAGAAATTTAGGATTTTCCTTCAGGCACTGCCTGAATTGAGCCAGATGGTCCCCTATCTTCAGGAGCTCCACGGGGTCCCCATCATGATTCCAGCAGGAGGCAATGTACTAGAATGGCAATTATAAAAGCACAGTGTATATTACACCACAAATGCTGTACTACCCCATAAGTAGTTTAACTCCATTACCTCAATAAAGATCAAAGGCATACGTGCTAGTATTCTTGTTTCCAGATTTAAAAACACCAAAAGTCAAAATCAAGTCATTCTTTGGAGAAAAAAAAATCAACTTATCTTGACTCCATTTTATTCTAATCACACTAAAACCACAGATTTCTGAAATATTTTTTACAAACCCTACCCATTTAGTCTTAATGTAAATCTCTTTCACATAAAACAGATAAGAATGCTCACTAAAGTAACAAAAAGAGGAAAATAACCCCACTATACAATTAAAATAAATTTGCATCATATCCAAACAACAGAACTTCGAAGGTTCAAATATAAAGTGTTATCAAACATCAATTGGCATTTTCTGTCTGTCAAGAAGGACTTAACTCCACAAGTCAAAGAACAGAACAAAACAAAAATCAAGGCGGCTGAGAAGTTGAGTTACATACTGAAGTCAGGGCAAGCCCGAAGCTGGTGGACTGGTGCTTCATCTGTATTTCAATTTTATGCAGTAAAGCTTCAATTCGATCATCTTCAAATCCCTTCCTAAGGAACACAATTGACAAATGAGTGTTGAAATGACCCGAATGTTCTAGAAACACAAGGTAAAACAGGTAATAACCAAATATGAACCTGTTACGGTCCACAAAGAGGAGGTTGAATGTGAAGAAAGCTCCATCTCCTCCCCCTAAAAGCATTCATGAGTGGAGAATGAGAGCAACTCACTGGGAACAAGCCACACTTACTCAACTACTTCATCAATTGTTTTGTCCACAAGGTTTCGAACAGTCTGGATGTCTTTCTCTGCAATGCCCTGCAGGCCGACGCTGAAGTAGGCCTCCCTCGTGTAGCCGTTGTAACTAGTGCACAAAGTCAGAGAGAATACACTGGAAGTCACACACTTCCATGATCCACTTGTAAGACAGGCTTCGTTTAACAATCAGTTATGAACTTTAAACTCCAGGTCCTTTCCTTTTAAAATATGCTCCCCCCCCCCAAAAAAAAGGCAAATTTTTGAGTTATGGAAAAATAGAGTGAATTCAAGAATCAGAACTGCTGAGATTTTACAGAATTTGATGACTTCAAAGAATATTTATTTACCTGACTTTTAAAGCACACAGCAGTACAATATTCTGGGACTTTGGAAAAGCTTGGTGCTTTGTGTGTTGTTTTGCTTTTTTTGATTACAGATGCCCTTCAATAATCTAACCCAGGGCAGGGTGGCCTGCTGCACTGTGGCATACCCAGGGACATCCCCGCACCCCACGTACAACATGCCAATGATATTTCCTGCCGTTTTAAAAACCAAAACACATCCCGAATTACTAACTGTCCCAGGCAGGGGGAAGGCAAATCACTCCACAACTAAAAACAAGTCATCATAAAGCTTACCCAACATCAGGAGAAAAGTCTGTGCCAAGTCCAGATTCTATTAAGGCCTTGTAAAAGGGAGAGTTGGGGCCGGACACCAACAGGGAAGACAGAAGGTTTAATGTGAAGGATTCAAACGTGTCAGTGATACTTTGTTGCAAGGGAAAAAAAAAAGGTGGAGAGAAATTACTGGCCATTATAATGTTTATGTGTTTAAATCATATAAAATCACTACTGAAGTAACACTTCTGCCACCAAGCGAGTTCAAGTTCTATTAGAAATTCTTGCATTTCAAAGTTTGTTATATGACTAAAAAGAATTCTAAAATTACATCTGGAAATCTGGGGGAGCATCAAGCCACAAAATTTAACAGCTTACTGTCCTGTGTAATACCTGGAACATATTTTTTTGTTGTTATTAGCAAAAATATCAACCCCAACGGGCTATGTCAAAAAGTTCCCAGAAGAGCCATGTAAAAATAGGTTTTGAGGTGAAAATTTCTAAACATAGTCTTTTTTTTTTCCAGAATGCAATTTTCCATGAACTGAGATACTCAAGTACAAAGCAGAAAAGGAACAAATGAGGAGATGGAGTGACATGTTCCATGTGTGCAGTTAGAACCTGGCAGACAGAGCTTGGCTGGGTTGACGAGGCCTTTCCCCTAATAAACAAGCTTCTGCAAACAGGTGCTAACATGGTCTCCACAAAATCTACAGCACTGCCAAGCTTGGCATGTGTACATTTTCCGAAGGAAAGTGATCACAATGTTCTCACACTCAGGGAACTGTGACTCCCACGGTGTGTCTGTCTACATGTTTTCTCTACGAAAATCATGTTTTTAAGAACAGTCAGTAGATACATTGCATTGCCTCTAGGTGGCGCCCCAAACGACCGCCCTCTAAACTCATCTTGGGTGTATCTTGATACACTTCTCCCTTCTTGAGACCCGCTTGCCTTAATCATAGAATTCACTAGAATTCACATCCTTTCTCAACTGGGTATTGTCTTTTTTTTTTTTGACTAATGTGAACTTGAACAAGGTTTACTTACTCTGGTAAGAGGAAGCTAACGCTGATTGTCGTTTGTTTAGAAGGATCCGTAGCAAATGAATCCGGGCCACATGTTATCTGAAATTCCCTCTGTAAAATAATGTGATGATTTAAGTGCGAATACAGCCAAAATGATTTTAAACAACTATAGGTTATCTGGATAGATAAAAGGGCTTGTGACATGCTTTTCACTGTTCACTTCATTTTGAAACAATTACCGCTCCTTAGTCTTCCAAAGCTTTTACAAACAATGGACAGTTCCATATTACACTCTGAAATCTTGTTACTAATTATAGTTCAAGGTCTCATGTAAGAGGCCAGAACCAAGCACGGATAAGAACTGACAGGGCACTTACAGGCTTGTCCCAGGGCTTCTGGGGTGGCACTGAAGTGCTTGGCTCGATTTTCTGAAATTTACTCAGTGCTTCTTCATGAATTTGTTTCAGGTGCTGTTCTAATTGAAAATTGCCATACGTGAAGAACCTAGAGTTTGAGCAGATATATATTAGTCTATTTTTCCTTCAAGGATGAGGTGTCAGCAGATTCTTTCAGCATGAAAGGGAGCATATATAACATATAACAGCTATTTTCCATATTGCAGACAACTTTAATAAGGAAAATACTTTAATTTCATTTAGTTTCACTGCAAACATGAGATAAAAGTGTTTGCTTTTGCCCTTTAATGAAGAAATACGGCTCAAACAAAACACAAATCATGCAGAAGAACTCAATTAAAAGTAACTATGAAAAATCAACATTTGTTAATTTTTTAAAAAGACTTATTTATTTTTATTGGAAAGCCAGATTTACAGAGAGATGGACAGACAGAAAGATCTTTCATCTGCTGGTTCACTCCCGAAGGAGCCACAAGGGCTGGAGCTGAGCTGATCTGAAGCCAGGAAGCAGGAGCGTCTTTTAGATCTCCATGAAGGGAGTGGGCACAGGGTCCAAGGCTTTGGGCCATCAACTACTGCTTTCCTAGGCAAAAAGCAGGGAGCTGGATGGGAAGAGGAGCAGCCAGGACAGGAACCACTGCCCAGATGGGATTTCAGCACACAGAAGGTAAGAATATAGTCACTAGCTCATCGTGCTGGGCCCAGTATTTGTTAAATTTTACATCTTTTCTAAACACTTACAAAAACAAATGTGTTATTTGTTCTAAATACTTTGAGGAACTCCAAAAACTCAAAATTTAGGCTAAAATCTCAGCTTACACATGTTTTTAAGACAATGCATTTCTTCAAACTAAGCAAAAAAAGGCTACAATGGCAGAAGGAAATTTTTACTGTAACATTTGTCTGAGCTATGGTTTGGATTTGGGGGTCTAGTAGCTGAAAGATATTTAAAAGGCTTACACTCAAGGATTTAGAAGCACGTTGTACACTGTAAGGATTTAGCTGAGGCAATAAGCAACCCTAGCATCCAAACACCAGTCCTCGAATGCTTTTTCCCATTCAGTCACAGGATCCTGCGGGTGAGGTGGTTATGGGTTAAGGGCTGATGTGGGAAGAGTCAAGCTGTGTATCTAAAGGGGACAGAGGTAGAAACCAAAGTCACAGAAAAGTGAAGCCTAGCCGGAAAGGAACGCTTTCAGCTCACAGCTCATATATTTTGAGCATAAAAATAAACACATCAATGCATATTACCTGATCACACAATCTCAACGTATAAAGATTTCCTGTAAGATCATCAAGGTACTAGAAAACAAGCCAAAGAAGGCTCAAAGAAAGAAAAAGATTCCTTTCATCACTTGTCAACACTGGAGGGAGGCAGTGTTATCATCTCTCCCCCAGTATAAGAAAGGACACCAGCGGCCTTTCCCATCAGAGTGTATTTTAGAATGACCCAAGAGCTCCAGCTGATAGAGGAACCACAGCAGATATGTAAAATGAACATCCTGGGCAGGACTTTGGCACAGGCTTGTGACGTTCACATCTAGTTACAGACTCCCTGGGTCCCAGGCCTACCCCGTTCCCAAGTCTAGCTTCCTGGTATAATGTGCACCCCAGAGGCAGTAAGTGATGGCTCAAGCAGATTGGTCCCTACCACACACATGTGGGAGACACAGGGTGAGTTCCTGGCTCCTGGCTTTGATCCTGGGCATCTGGGGAGTGGACCAGTGAATGGGAGATCTCTCTTTCTCTGCCAAAATGAATAAAACAAAATCCTTTTTTTTAAATGAATGTTCAAATAAATTCTTTAGGCAAGCCTAAAGAATTTTATTAAGACATATATTTCAACAAACATTTCCTTGATAAATGAGAGAAGTCACCATGTCATTCAGTATAAACATACAAGTAAGTTCATCTACCGTTGCACTTGTAAAACATAACATTACCTAGCATTACTTGGGTGATAGTGAGTAGCATGGAATTCTTTTAGCTGTTCCCACGTGAGCTCTGGGATGCATAATGGATCACCACCGGAAATCACTGAATATGTATGGTCAGGAAGAAGTCTGTTCTGAAGATGCTGTGAGAATATCCTCTCATTATCTGTCTTGAAATGAAAAATATATATATGTAAAATGCAATTGTGCATTTTGCCAATGACATTTTGGTCAATCGCAGACAACATAAGTGATGGTCATCCACTAAGACTGTACTATGGCCTAGGTGTACGTTTGGGTAAGAACACTCCAATGCTCGCACAAGGAACAAACTGCCTGGTGACACACTTCTCTGTACATATCCTCACTGTTAAGTAATGCATGGCTAACACACATGACCATACAAAACAGAAAAGTAATCACACTCCGTGAGCATAAAAATAAAACAGCTTGCATATAAAACTGCTCTACAACCCACTGCTAAAATGACAGAACCAAATTACCACCTATTTCTATTAATGCTGAATGGAAATGGCTTAAACTCATCAATCAAATGTTACAGATTAGTAGACTGGATTAAAAACAAAACCCATCTATTTGTTCCCTACAGGAGACATATTTCACCAACAAAGATCAGTGGAAAATACATCTCATGGATTTTGATTTTTTTTGATACTTTAATCTCTTCAAAACACTTTCTGATTAAATTCTTCAATGACTCATGGATCATACAGTAGCATCATTTTCTTCAAGAAGGTTCTTGATTTTCATTTCTTCAGCGACACATTAGTCATTCAGTAACATGTTAGTTCACTTCAATGGTGTTGTTAATTTCTCTCTTTTTTTAAAATTCCTGTTGTTGATTTTGTTCTGTGGCTTTTCATTTAAGGGGATGTATAGTAACTGTGTAACGGAGACTATCACACCTAGCAGCATGTTAACTTCATGGCATTGTAAATTTCTATTTTCCTTCCTGTTGGTGATTTTGTATCTTTTCATTTGAGGGAATGTATAGTAGCTGTGCAATGGAGACTAACATATCCAGATGTGAGGATACAATGCAGTATGCATCTCTTCTTCCAGACTAAAGATGAACTTCTAATAAAACTGTTAACTAATATCTTGACAACAGGATGCTGGACTCTCTGCCATTGTCCATGCCCGCAATGATGGACATATGACTGTGTATGAAGAACTATACTACAGTAATGATGTAGGGGAACTCAGTGAGGGAGGAGGGAATTGGGAAGGGGATAAGGGAAATCCCAGGGCCTATGGAACTGTATCATAAAATGAAAATGAAAATAATAAAAAGTAAAAAAAAAAAGATTTAAAAATAAATAAATAAATAAATAAAACTGTTCTAATGATAAGCAACGACATCCTGCTGCATTCAATTTGTTCATAATCTGTGCACAGGACCCAGTAATGGTTCTTGGAAGAAAAGAACAACTTAATTTTCAGCATGAACTGGGTAGATAAATGGATAGCTGAAGGCAAGGGGAAGGGCATAAGAAATGAAAACTACAGTAGAAGGATTCCTTTTGTCTGGTGGCCACAAGGGAGGGAGGGGAAAGTTGTTACACTAATTTTAAGACGGTGTCACAGAAGTGACTTTCACATCGCGTAGGAAAGGGTAAGAGAAAGTTTGCAGGCTAAAAGAGGTCACAGAAGTTAGGTAGTAATGTGGAAGCCAGACATTACTTCCTGCACCTCAGGAAGACCAGTTCGGACCAGAGTAGGTCTTCAAAGTCAACAGGGGTACTTGCTGATGCAGGTCCAAGACAGCCGTTCTCAAGCCACAAAGATCTCAAGAACCACACACACAAAGTTAACGAAGCCCCCAAACATTCTGGATTGGGAGGTTATTTCATTATGTAGGTATCTGCTTCTGTGTAATATGTATGTGTATATGCTTTACTTATTTCTCCTGCACTCTGAAGCTGAGGCATTTTCAAAATTGTTTTGAACTTCATCCATTTTTGCATGTTAAGAAGCACTTTTTGAAAAAATCTCATACCAAAACAAAAACATGATTGGGAAGAATGGCATTGGTTTGCATTTTTTTAGATACCTCTTCAATGTCTGGTTCCCTAGCAGACAGCTGGAATCTCTTATCTGCCTCTGCTTGCGATACACTGTGTGTCATGCATCAAGCCTGGAATCTACTAGATATTTGGGCAAGAGTGAGAGCGAACAAGGCCACGTTGTAGCAGTAGTGGAGAGGTGTTTATCTTGCAGAGCTGCTGCAGGTCACACACCAGGGTGCTCACAGTCCAAGAAGCTCCGAGAGTGAGGTTCTAGGACATAGACCACCCAGGCCCTTCCATCTCCTAAGGATTCTGCTCACAGCATGGACTTGGCAAAGTCAAGAAACTTATCACATAACATGAGACTATCAGCATCAGAGTAACTGAATGTCAACTGTTTCCTTACGGGATCTGTTTTAACATTTTGTATAGATAACTTTAGCACAACAGAAAATGATGAGGGAAAAAATAAACTTACAAATGCTCCCTTCATCTCATTGAAGACAACTCCTTTAAAGATCAACGGCGTCTGGGGGTCGCTTGGATTCTCATGCTCTAGTCGCCATCCTTCCTGCCTACATGACGGTAAAGAATTCGGTCAAAGTGACAGTGATTCTATTGCTGAGATTAAATCAAGTAATTAATGATGACTTACCAGAAGTCTAGCTCCCGCAGGCATGGAAAAAATGTTGCATCCAAATAAACGGACAGCAGGTTCTGAAAATCCTTGGGATTTTGTGTGGAAAATGGATACAGAGTGTAATCACTAGCTGGGTACAAATGAAAAGAAAGATTTTAAAATATTACAGATTACTGAAAAAAGTATTTACTTTCAAGCCTCATATCACTGTGACAGTACGTGGTAACTATTGGTTAACAGAAGGCTCAATCCTGCACTCTGGATCTGTTCTCTGGCCACTCTGAGGTCCAACATGCCAAGACTTAATATTAGCACTTGATAGACATTAAAACTAATGCTTCAGTGAACACTTTTACACAGCTGAAGATCGGGTAGGGAGGCTGGGATGTGTGGTGCAACGGGACAAGTACTGGCTGGGGATGCATGTATCATACATTGGGGTGCTGTTTCAAGAGCCCACTGCTCTGTACTTCCAAAACAGCTTCCTGATATTGCATCCTGGAGGAAGCAGATGGTGGACCAAGTGTGCTCAGGCCACTGACAGCCATGGAGAAGACCCAGATGAAGTTGCATGTTTCTTATGTTGGCCTGTCCTACTCCTGGCTGGTGGCAGGTATTTGGGGGAATGAACAAACAAATACAGCATCACTCCCTCTTTCTGTCACTCTTTCAAGAAGACGAAAGTAACTACATGATTTTTTTAAGACCCTATATAGGCATCACTTCTGGGTAGAAAAATCCACTCCTTCTGTGAAAGCATAGATTTAATTTGTTTTTGGATTTCAGTCTTTCACAGGTTGTTCTGTTCTCATTACCAGCCTAGTTACTATTCTCAAAGTTAATAAAAGCAAAACTAACTCAGATAGAATAATGCAAGAGGCCTAATGCTGCAGCAATATTCCCTAAAGAAAACTGCTTTGAACTTTACCAGAAAAGGAATCTTTTGGATTTTTCCTGGAAAAAGAATCACATAACTTTTTTCTTCTAAGGATTTGTCAAAATGCATCCCAATGCAATTATTAATCGCCAACTATTGATGCTAACTGAATTCATCTGGGTGTGTGTGGCAAAGTCATCAGTCTTACCTGTGAAGGCATTCATGAAAGTGGATAATGACCTGTTCAGCATTTTGAAGAATGGATCTCTGCACGGGTATTTCTGAGAACCACAAAGGACTGTATGTTCAAGAACATGAGGAACACCAGTACTATCCATTGGAGTCGTTCGAAACTGTACACTAAGGAAAAGGAAAAAAAGAGAAAGGATAAACGGTGGGGCTGGTTAGGCATAGGGTTACCCAATAGCATTCTTAAACACACGGTTACCTCAGATTACTAAAAACCATCATGTTTAAACATGTCCATCTTTCAAAAGGATGTTTCCTAACTGTAACACGTGAAGTCACTGATTCACACTGGGCTAACTTTACTTTTTCTGAGAAGAAGATACAAAGTCACTTATATTGATGGGGAGCCTCAACCAATAAAAACACTAATGAGATACTTACAGAAGCCATCCAAAACATGCTCTTACGATGCACCCCATACCTGAACAAATTATTGGTGTCTTCTCTCGCCAGATGTAAATATCTAGCTCCTGTGTTGTCATGGCTGAGCTTCACTGCAGTCAGGAAGAGCTCAGGGACAGGTGTGACCTGAGTGAAGGAAAAAGCATCAGCGGCTAAACTCATCTTCCACACACGGGCGGGATCGGCTTTTCTGTCTTCAATAATACCAGAAAGCCAGGATGCACAGCTAGAAGGACACACCACATTGCCTAAATCCCTGACCTAATAAACAGGAAATAAAGCCCTAAGGAAGGCAGATGAGAATGCTTATGTTTTTTTTAAGTGCTCATACTTGTTAGACCTTTTCTAAACATGTCACACGTGGCCCTGTGAGAAGGACACCCTCATCCCCATCTACAGACAAAATTAGCAACAACAAAATCGAAGCTCACATGGTGAAAGAAGCTGTGCACACTCCTGAGAGCTGGGTCTTCCCTGCCGTCTATACTCCTCCCGTTAGCTTACTCATGCCTAAGTAACAATGGCTCATCCTTCAGATGTGCACCACGTGTCTCTTGCTTTTACACCCACCACTCAGAGTCAGAACAACCATGCAGAAAGTGAATGTCAGGGCAAGCTAAGCCTGCAATAGAAGAAAATGCTCCTTCGAACACAGCTACTCCATTCAGCTTGAGTTCCAGGTGGGAAGACCACCACACATACAGACACAGCCTCCAGAAAAGTGGGAAGGGCTCGGAGGGCATAAAAGCCCCACGGAAAATGAATGGATCCTCACTGGTGGGTAAGGTGGGATGGTGCTCATCCCCTTTCTTACTTTCGATAATCCTCCATGTGTGCATTACCCACAATTCTTGGTGTTAAATGACTCACTTTGTCCTTCAACTATGACAGGAGTAACTTATACTATAAACCCAAACTTCGTTAAGAGACTTGACAGATGCTCTGCTCCATTCCAAGACCTTCGTGACTCACTGCTCCTGACCTTGACTGAAAATGCCCACTTCCCTGCCCTTGATCAACCCAGCCTGGAGATCTAGCACCATTTCTCAACTGTCGTCTTCAGCATGAGTGACTTCCCCCTTCCCCGGAGGTTGCAGTACTGTCTGCTCCTCCCTGGCCCTGCCGGTGACACTTCTGCCAGAGGCTTAAGTTTTGACATCTTTCCGGATGGTAAGTCACGTGTATTTGTCACAACATCAAGCTATTAGAAAAGGCCAGTGGTTAAATAAAAACAAAATACTGTGAAAAATCTGCTCACACACACACACACACACAATCTAGGGTCAACATATTTTTAACACAGGCCTAAGTCAGTATTGATCCACAATTTCTTCTTTTCAATTCTAAAACCCAAGTGCCTCAGAAAACAGTGTTTCTACTTAAGAACACACCATTTGATGGTAAAATCTGAATGAATGAATATAGGGAAGCAGATCAGGACTGATTATACTCATGAATGAATCATCAGGGTTGGCTTCAGAGACATCAGCGTGTTGGACTACAAAGATTCCTCTGGGAGTACCAGTTTCTAAAATCTGAAAAGATTTCAGGATTCAACAGATGCAGGTAAAGAACTGGGGAATACTGGATTCAGCTGAGCACTGACCATGAGAGGGGGGGTCTCTGTTGAGGCCTGGGAACTAAAGGATGAAAACTCCAGGCTCAGCTCTGAGTCACCCTGTGCTCCGCAGCACACCAAGATGGCCCCATACCTGGTTGACGGTGAAGCCATGGATCTTTTCGCCCACTTTATACTGCAGGGCTCTCTCACAAGCTGGCTGGCTCTTCCACCGGCATACCGAGTGGTGTGCAGAACTGTATAAGGAAAATCATTAAAGTCAGATGATTTGTATGAAAACTAAGCAACACAACAAAAATATCACCTAATGATGAGGATATTAACTTAAAGGAAAGTCAAATCTTGCATCCTCCAAAATCTTGCATTATCCCAGAAAATTAAGTTCTCTAAAAGTCTTTGCTCTTTAAAAATCATTTATCTCAACTCAGTTCATGTTTCATAATATAAATTAATAATTACATGCTGAGCAGTTGGTATGCTTGGTAAAGCTTTTGCCCACAATGCTGGCACCCCAGATGGGTGTCTATTCATGCTCCGGTTGCTCTATTTCCAGTTCAGCTCCCTGTCTAGCAGCAGAAGATGGCCTAAATGCTCGGACCCCTGCCACTCAGGTGGAAGCCCTAGGCCCCTGGCTTCCTCCCGGCCCAGCTCTGGCTTTGGGGCTATCTGAGCAGTGAACCAGTAGATGGAAGCACTTTTCATCTCTCCCTCTCACAGCACCTTTCAAATAAACAAAAATATCTTAAAAAAAAAATAAATGTTGAAAACATTTTGCTAGCCCACATTTGCAAATAACACAACCCTACACAAATTTCATTAATTGCACAAAGATCACTTCAAGATGAAAACAGCATATTTCCATTAAAACAGCCCTACATCTAGCAATAAACTGAAACTATCTTAAAATCAATAGGTCAAAGTTAAAACACATGGACTACAGGAACTGCCATTCAGGGCTGGAGTGCAAATTTAAATGTCTATCAAGATAAATTGGGAATTATTCACTCAATTAAAAAAGCCCAACAATTAAAAATAAAAGTAACAAAGATGGGGTCCCATCACACTGACCACACCATCAAATGACAAAGACATAGTCTAAATGGATATAACCCAGACATATAATGCTGTATTGTAGGAATGCATATAGATATCAAAAGCAAAGAAGAAGCCAAGAAAATAATTTCTACAAGGCAAGAGGAGTGATGACATGAAGAGAAGAGACAGTGTTAAGGCTAGCAATGGTGACAGGACCTACGTTTTAGTCGTTATTCCTTCAAACTGCATTATTTGTGTTAAGGAAGTTTTTTGCAACACTAAACATATTTTACAGAAATATTTAAGGATGATATACACAGGAGAAAAGCCTGTCACTGCCAATATCATGGAGATATAAATAACCCATATTTCCTTACTGATTCAAGAAATTGTAGAATTACGGGACAGAGGATTTTAAGAAGTTACAAATCCTCAGGAACACAACAGTATAAAAATCCTGAAACACCAGGATTTTCCTCCCATACGTTTTCTGCTAACTTACTACATATGTGAACAATGTTCTGCTGTCAAACACTCCTGGAGCTTCCCCCCAAACAACCTGTATGTTTCCTTCCCTACATTAAAGACACACACCATCTAGGAACAGGTTTTGTGAGTCAGCACAAAAAACCAAAACTTTTCTTTAATGATCTTTTACCACCCTCCCCTCCCCCAGGCTGCAGTTTTATTAAGAACACAGCAGGTGCCAAGTCAGTTCTAGGATGTGGGTACCCCGGGATCTCTGCTTGCATCAAAAAAACGAAAGGGGGCCAAACCCTGTTATGGAAGACCTTAAATGGCCTGTTACTTTTACTACACCTATTAAAAATCACATCAATGACCATCTCCACTTCAAGAAGCCTGGACAACCCACACACTGGGCCACCTACACTGGGATCAGCTAAGGTCTCAGGAGGGTCCCTTTCCCCCACCGGCCTTCAGCGCTGGGACTTTGTGGAACCCCTCATCCCGACCACGGTAGTTGGGACAGGAACTCACGGTGGGGATTAAGCCTGCCATCTCCAAGGGCTGAAGAGCATCTTGTCATGCTCTAGAGATCCTGGGACTAGGACTGGAGATTCCAGGGTACAGCAGTCTACAGATGAGGGACTTGGGGGTACAGGCACTACGGACGAGGCCTGCCAGGAAACACTAACTCCGGGCGAAACGTGTGTGGATCCCACTGGGGGCTTAGAGGTGCAGGAAGCTCCCAAGAGGAGCGTCGGGGTGCGGGTGCCTCCAACCAGAGACTTCGGGGTGCGGAACCCCAAAAATGAGGAGCTGACACCTCTAGGCCCCCCGAGGATGACTGATCCCTCCGATTCACACTCAATCCCCGCCCCGCCCTACTCATCACCCTCCTACACCCGTGACCCTCGCACCCTCAGCTTCTCACCCGCTTTTCAGCCGCCACAGCGCGCCCAGCGAACGCCGCCCGCCGCAGCGCCACATGGTGAGTAGTGAGTGACTCGCTGAGGACCAGCTCCGGCAAGCCTTACTGCGACGCACGGCGCGGGGCGGGACTCTGCTCGCGACTCCCATTGGCCAGCGTGCACGGCGACGTCCGCTCCGATAGGCTGCTCGGAAGAGGGCGGGTCCTTCCGAGGAGGGGCGGTCCTCGCAACGGGGAGCTGCGCCGTTTCCTTGGGGACCGAACGGGCTGCGGGAAGATGGGGCCAGACCAAGTCTGTGAGGTATCCAGGTGGGGCGGGAATGTGTGCAGGTCACCGGCCTAAGCCTGTGAAGGTGAGGGTCAGGGTGTGGTGAGCAGGGGGATCAGGCCTGGTGAACCTGTGGTCCTCTTGGGCCGGTGTGTGTGGGCTTTGGTCCGCTTGTGCACCTGCTCTCTGGTGGTTTACAAACTGTAGAACCCAGGGAGTGAGGGACGACCAAATGCTTTCACCTCTGGGGCTGGAGGGCTACATGTATGAGGTCTACGGACAGCTGCGGACTGTTGGCAAGGACCACGGGTGTTTAACTGCATGATGTTAAGCGTATTTAAGCTATTAAGCATATTAAAAAATTTCCCTAGCTAACTATAGGACACAGTTCATTGCTCCTGTATGTGCTTATAGTTCGCTGTTTCCTTCCAGTCTCGTTCCTATCTGCATTTTTCGTGAGGGAAGGCCACACTTCTGCTTTCTAACAATTGCAAGTTCCTCGAACCCTTTTCTTGGAAATGCAGGGAGGTATTTAAGGGAGGACGGTGGTGTGTTTGTCCGGCCATCTGCTGTTAAGGGCTGGAAGAGACATCTGGGAATAACTGCACCTGGGAGATGTTTGGGTGGAACTTGCAAGATGTCAGAATACAAAACTAATCTCAATTTTTCAAAACCCTTCTCTCTTCACTCCTGTCCCTTTTCACCTAGCCCACAAAAGCAAAGAAACTCAAATCCACCTCCGTCCAGATTCTATAAAGAAAAATGCTAAGTGGACATCTACAGTCTATTTAAACATGTAAAAGTTTATTTGGAGAAAAAGCCACAAACCAGACACTTAAGACTCCATGACGCAGTGATTTCTGAAATTAAACAAACACCTCCTTATTGATGGATCCAAATGAACCAGGGCAAATGATAATGAGAGGCTAGTTACAAACACACGCTGTGTACAACTCTTTCTTCTGGGGGGACTTGGGGTGATGCATATTAACGAGTCATCACATCTCTGTGATCTTGAGGGGATACGGTTGGGGGTTATTAACCCTAATATGAGTGTGAAGGTAGCTGAGGCAGTGGGAAGTTACAGTAGCTTTCTCTCTGAAGGATGCCTGCTATATAAATCCAGTAATTACTGTTTACTGTGTTGTTCCCATAGGACACAGCCTCACTAGTGGGTAACCTAGATACACACACAACCAGGATGTATGAATTTTTTTTAGCAGTATTCAACCCAATTTTAACACTTATACGGACTCTTAATTTACATTAATAATTTCCATATAGATTAAAAATTGTCTGCAATTTTCTGTTACAAAAACATGTCTTGAGTAATGAAGCTACTCAATGTTATAGGAACATTAGCAACAGTTAAAATCAGAATCGACTTGACTGGGACTTAGAAGGACAATCTACTAAATATTGGCATGGCAAGGAATTAATTCTATCTCCCTTCCCTCCCCCAGGGATCCAATATTTCAGAATTTGGACAAAGGAACATTTACAGAGGCCTGAAAGCCAAAATGAGGTCATTAAAGGTGAGCCTAATTCAGATATGACTGGCATCCTAATAAAAAGAGAAAACTTGGATGCAAAGACAACATAAAAATGGGGAAAACACAAAAACAACATGTGAATATAAAAGTGAGGATCAGGTGATGCTTCCACAAACCAAAGGCTACGTGGGGGAAGGCGTGATAGGTTCTGCTTCGTAGCCTTAGAAACAACAATCCTGCCAGCACCTTGAACCCAGCTTTCCAGCCTTTAGAACTGTGAGACAATTTATTCGATGAATTTTTTTTTCACAGAAGTTTGTCACAGTATCACTGGCAAACTGAGAGAGAGGTATGAGGTCCTTTAACTCAGGAACAAAAATAAGAAGTGATGTAAGCTATATAAGGCATTTTCCAGGGTTGTGTGTCACCAACATGCTTTTGGAAAGCTTTCATTTCTGAATCCATCCGAAACCACACATGGATTGCCTTTCACTTTAGGATTACAGAACTTTTAAAAATGTTAACAAACTCAGAAGTTACATCCTAACAAAAGGAGAAGGAACTCCACATTTTCAGAGGCTCTAGGCTCCAATCTTAGAATGCATTAATCCACTTTTTTTACTCACCAAGTATCTGTGCTGTAAGTGTGCCAATCACTGATACTTGCTGTTGCTGAATCTGAACAAACATCTTGCCTTTCTCTTGAATGTATGATTTTCCTTATATTAAAAAAAAATTTATGTAGCCATTTGAAAGGCTGAGTGAGAGAGGTAAGAGGGAGACAGAGATCTTTCATCCGCCATGGTCGTAATAGCTGAAGCTGGCTGAGGCTGAAGCCAAGAGCCAGGAACTCCACCTGAATCTCCCTGGTGGTTGGCTTGGGCTCAGATATGTAAGCCATTATTGGCTGCTGTCTCAGGTACATTGGCTTGCAGAGGGATCCGAAATGGAGCAGCAGAGATTGGAACCACAGCTCTCATCACAGATACCATTTTCAGAAACATCAGCTTGACCTACTGTGTTGTAATGCCAACCCCAGACAAGATTGACAGTTACCATCATTTAGTAATTTCAGGTCTGTCTGATAGCAATGCCCTCATGACTTCAGCATTGGCTTCAGCCCTCAGTTTTAGTTTCTGTTTGTTTAAAATGGGAGATTTAAGTTTTACATAATGAAATTCATCATAAAGCTATGCTCTCGTAAGAGTACAGCATCCCTGCAGAATCTTTTACTGTACCAAATATAGAACAAGATAAAAATCTACGAAGTAGTATTTTCTTAAATGAAATATGATAGTCACATGGATAATTTTGTAAAAAGATTTATTTTTATTGTTTTTATTGGAAACGCAGATATACAGAGAGGAGGAGAGACAGAGAGGAACATCTTCCATGTGATAATTCTCTCCCCAAGTGTCCACAATGGCTGGAGCTGCGTTAATCTGAAGCCAGGAACCAGGAGCCTCTTTCAGGTCTTCCACACGGGTGCAGGATCCCAAGGCTCTGGCCTGTCCTTGACTGCTTTCCCAGGCCGTAGGCAGGGGGCTGGATGGGAAGTGGGGCTGCTGGGACTAGAACCAGCCCTCATTGGGATCCTGGTGGGTGCAAAGCAAGGACATTAGTTGCTAGGCTACAGCACCTGGCCAAGTCACACACATAATTAAGTATTATGCAAATACTATAATAGAGACATATAATCTGTAGATATGCTACAAGTGATAAGTGCAGAAAGCAGGAATATATTTTAAGTACTAAACATGTATATTGTGTGTGTATTTTTATGTTCTGAAATTATTACTTAAGTGGGAAAAATAGTTTTTGAATTGCGAGAGTTCTTAGGAGATTTGAATTTTGAACTTAAAATAAATCTTAATGAAAAATGTTTATGAGAATTTCAGTAAACAGCAAATCATTCTATGTTCATAGATGGGAAAGAGCATGATATAATATCAAGTTTTTTTTCCCTTCTTGCAAAAATGCAATGCAACTGCAGTAGGGAATCCTAACAGAGTAGTAGTACAAACTAATCCTGAATATATGGAGAAGTGTTGATTTTGAAGGTGAGCAGTGAGGGAGTATTAGTTTCCCAGTCAATATTTCTTATTGTGGTTTTATTTCGAGAGACTTAAGTCCTACAAATTATGGTAAATAAGATGGTATAAAATTGGTACAGTTAGGGATGTAAAGAAGCTAAAAGAAGACATCAGTCAAGTGACATCCCAGCACCTGCAGAGGACACACTCATAATGCAGACGCATGACACAGGGTAGAAGTAGATCCTTGGAAAACAGAGTCAGTGTTATAGTGTACATAGGAAAGTAGAACTGTCCCTTTAATCTTGCTTCACCTACACAGAAGGCCTGGCGATACTATTTTATACTGCTTCTGAGCTCAGAAAGTTTCACTCATGCTTTTGATACATGAAATTAGAACTTTGTTTCTGCCTCACAGAAAAATTGGTCACAATAGGAGGGGCCTCAAAATGAATGCCTAGATTGGAGTCCTTACACAAAACGCGATGTTCAGAATGCAGTTCAGGCAGGAAAAGGATCTCTGAATGCCTGTCTTCCTCCACATGTATTTGCTGGTGCTTGAAATACTTGAACAGGGCAGAAAATCTGTATTCCACACTGAGAAAATACTTAATATGTAAAATACCCATTGACTTAAGTTCACAGTACAGTGAATAAGGTTCTAATGAAAACTGTTAAAAGGGCAGTAGGAAGCATTTGGGAAATGGACAGAAGGAAATGACAACAGTGGAAATGTTAGAGAGGGAAAAGACTGGACAGTTACCAAAAAAAAAAAAAAACAACAACATTATTGTAAAGAGTGTTTCTTTTCAAAGGACAGTCATTGTTCCAATTAGGTTCAGTGCAGGATGTTTTAACAGAAACTCAAGGTGGTACTATTTTCATTGTCTTTATTATGCCTATTAGAATGTTAAAAATTATTTTATTCTGACCTCAGAAAAATCTTTTTTTAAAAATGATGTGTTTTTCATAATGTTTGCATAGTTGAGAAGGATACATAGCAAAGATTAGAACTGAGGATTAGGGGGAAGTGAATGAGATCCTAGTTCTCATTTTTCTTTTGCATTTTGTATTTGGAGGAAGAGAGGGAAATGTCACACCCACTATCCTAGATGTACCAGCACAGGGATGGGGAGTGGTCACCTGCTGTCACCCCAGGGTCCTCACTGTGAAGCATGCTTAGTGTCAGTCATTCAAAAATGTTGATCTCATTGCTCCAAGGATGAGGAAATCCTTCCAAGGTCTGTTGCCTGACACAGTCCATCTCAGAGTCTCCCTCCGC